GCTAGATCACAGTCTTTCATGACTTTCTGTTTGGTTTCTGGAGAGTTATTATTTTCTTTTTGTGATGTTGCATTACCATGGCTTTTTGTGGTGCTTAATGAGTTATTCTTCTCTGGTGCATTTGTCATAGTGAACACTTTTTCTTATTTAGTTATAGCCTTTTTGGTTTTGATTTTAACTATTTAACCAGTTGGAGATTAGAGGCCTTGCTTTTGTTTTTCAGTAGGTGGCGCTATAACACTAGTTTTTCATTTCTCTTACCTGAGCTTCCTCTGGCTATATTTGAGGGTCAACATTTTCCACCCTCCACTGCCTTTAATAGGGGTGTTGCTGGTGCTCTTGTCACTGCTGCCTGCACCTCTGTTGGTCACTGATACCTTGCTGTTGCCGGTGTTGCTACAGTCACTGGCTTCGCTACCGAGGGTACAAGGATGCCTGAAGCCTTCACCATTTCTGGGGTCATCTGTGTGGGAAACTCTGCCCCTGTGTTGGGGTGAATGGGAGGTGGGGAAAGAACTGGGTTCACAGGGCACTACCTCCACTGTTGTTTGTTTCTTTGTTTCCGCAGGTTCTGCTGCGGTTGGGAGGTTGAAGTTGTGCACGTGTCTCCACTACTGCTAGTAGGCTCTGAGCTGTGGCTTGGGGCCTGGGATCATGGGGCTCTGCCCTTGTTGCTGCTCTGCTCTCCATGGCCACAGGTGCTGCAATGGCCGGGAGGCCAGTGTTGCGTGTGTGCATGCCTCCACTGCTGCCCACCAGGTTCTCTGGAGCTGGGGGCAGCTGACTCAGCCACTGAGGCCAGGGGGCCATGATCCTGGGCACTACCTCCGCTGTCCCCCCAGTTCACCTCCTGTATGTGCTCCAGCCCACCCACCTTTGTATGTACCATCCTGTGGATCTCTCGGCATCCTGGCATGTTGGGCAGTATAGCCTTTGTTGAGTTACAGGTGTTTTACTGTCTGTAGATTGAAGGGGAGAAAAAATGGGATTGTCTCACACTGCCATGATGATGACGTCCCTATAAAATCATTTTTACAAAAAAAAATCCAAGTCCTAAATTAACTCTCAAAAAATTTTAAAGTATCTAGTGAACTCTTGTTTCTGTAAGGCAGGATACAAAGAAAATAGTTTGTGAATATTGATGTATTTTGTTTATGTGACATAAACTGTTCTTTTTAAAACTCAAATCCTACTTTAATATGGTAAATGTCTTTGCTATTTTCTGCTATTCAAAGGGACTCTCTTAAAATTGTAACTGCTTATTTTATGACGAGGCGTGATTTAGAAAGCTTCTTTAGTTATCTAATCTGTTTATAAACACATTGAGGAAATGGCTGTTATCTTTTTTAGTTGTTATAAGCAAAATCTGAGTCTGTTTTAGGACAATGACTTTAAGTAGCATCAGTCTATCTGCACTAACAGGCTTTTATTGCCTTTATAATACCAGTAAAGTGATAAGACTAGAAGTATATATACTTCAATTCAAGGAAAACTCAGTTTTATTTCTCTTATCAAGGGAATGTAAATTGAAAATCTCAGGGTGTGTCATGTGGCAGTTGTGAAAGTGAAGGAAAAGTCTAGATTGTGATTTTGCACTGAGACCATTTTAATGAATAGGGCAAGTGATAGATAGAAGAATTAGACAGACTCACTGTCACAACAGGACAACTATGGCCACCCACTTGGAGCTTCCTACTTACCATGGGGTAGAGAGCAAATGAGAATGTGTTCTCTGCTACGGGGGAGGGGAAGGGATGACTCTGCACATTCACTTTGCTCTTATACTAAGCCAGCCCCCACCTCCTCCACCCGGGAGGGAGGCCAGAAGTCTTAGTGTACTTGAAGTTCCTCCATGGACACAGAAGGAATGGGGAGAAAGAGCTAGTTAGCTCTCAGGAGGTTTGTATGAGGACGTCCTCTGCCTTAAGTGGGTTTATGCTGTCATGAATACAGTCCTGGACTGAGAATCCTGATTAAGAATCTGAACTTGGGCACACCTCTTACCTGTGGTCTTGAGCCTACATGAGGACCTGACCTAGATCAGGCCTTTTCTACCTATAGCATTGTAGGCTCATATGGACCTCCACCTTCCAGGGGCTAATACTTGCATTTCAAAATTGACTAGTTGTTTCTTGGATTTCAAGATGACAGATAACGTATTTACTTATCGCTGTATACTATTAAATATAATCTAGTAAATATCCATTGGAGATTATTTTCAACAAGCAAGGATTTGAGCTTAGAACTAGAGCAATTCAGTTTAATACTTTTTTCTGTTTACTTACTAAAATAGTAATATGCTAATATAGCAAATTTAAAAACACAGGAGCCGGCCCGGTGGTGCAAGCGGTTAAGTGCGAGCACTCCACTGTGGCGGCCCCGGGTTCACTGGTTTGGATCCCGGGCGCGCACCGACACACTGCTTGGCAAGCCATGCTGTGGCGGCGTCCCTTATAAAGTGGAGGAAGATGGGCACGGGTGTTAGCCCAGAGCCAGTCTTCCTCAGCAAAAAAAGAGGAGGATTGGCAGAGGTTAGCACAGGGCTGATCTCCTCACACAAAAAAAAACAAAACACAAATAGACTAGTAGAACTACAAATCACTCATAATCAATTTTTAAGATGCAATATTTTACTATATAAAGAAGTCCTTGGGGCCGGCCCCGTGGCTTAGCGGTTAAGTGTGCACGCTCTGCTACTGGCGGCCCGGGTTCGGATCCCGGGCGTGCACCGACGCACCGCTTCTCTGGCCGTGCTGAGGCCGCATCCCACATACAGCAACTAGAAGGATGTGCAACTATGACATACAACTATCTACTGGGGCTTTGGGGGAAAAAAAAAAAAGAGGAGGATTGGCAATAGATGTTAGCTTAGAGCCAGTCTTCCTCAGCAAAAAAAAAAAAAAAAAGGATTAGCATGGATTTTAGCTCAGGGCTGATCTTCCTCACAAAAAAATAAAAGAGGTCCTTGGATTTTATCAACCATATGGGTAAGTTATGATATAACTATTAGGTAGGTGCTTTCTATAATCATATTTTCTAAATTTGTATATCCCTTCCTTGGACTATACTGAGGAAAATCACAACTTTTATTAACGTCTTACCTTTGGTCACAAATCGCATCTTTGCTTTCTTCTAATGAGTCAGGTATTGAGTGGGCCCCTAGGAACTTTCTTTTCCTGCACTGAATGCTCTCTCTGTGTTTGTCAGTAGTGAGGACTACTTGAGTGTTTGTCAACTGAAAGGATGTTCAGTGAAAAGATAAAGGATTCCAGCATCACTGTCCTCTTAAATTTTCCTCTACAACCGAAGGAGCTTGCGGCAGAAGCCAAATATATTAGCCAGCTCCTGCAAGTGTGTGATATCAGTCTTGGCGTACGATTGTTGTCTTCACAGACTATAAAAGTTACCTGGATGTCTGTTGACAGGAACGTTTGTGCCAGTCATAAGCAAATATAATTTTAAAAAACCCCAATTTTAGGTTATCTTTTCCTATTATCTGTATCTAATATTATATAAAATAAGGCGTTTAATAACGTTTATTTGAGTGATTTATCTAGACTGAAATTTAAGTACTTTTTCCATGACTTTTTGTGCGTAGCTTACATTTTTTTGGCTACAGCTTTCTATTACTTATTTCTTGTTATTGCAGTGTCATACTTGAAGTGGTGAGAGGTGATTAAGGTCTTATGTTGAAACGGGGATTTCAAAAACTATATCATTTTCATCTACCATTTTCTTCAAATATGTGTTCTCTTTTCTGTCATAAACTGCAAATGAATATAACTTTGGTTATTGCTTTCATTCTGTCATATCAAGTCTAAGGTACCCTACTTTAAGTGTTAGGATAAATATGCAATCAATGTATAAATATTGTGAGCTGTATAGTAACTGAGTTTGAGGTAGGGTAGACTGATAAATTATTTTTTTTGTTTGTTTGTTTGTTTTTTTGGTGAGGAAGATGGGCCCTGAGCTAACATCCGCCAGTCCTCCTCTTTTTGCTGAGGAAGACTGGCCCTGAGCTAACATCCATGCCCATCTTCTTCCACTTTATATGGGGAGCTGCCACAGCATGGCTTGACAAGTGGTGCGTCAGTGCGCGCCCAGGATCCGAACCGGCGAACCCCAGGCCGCTGCAGCGGAGTGCACACACTTAACTGCTTGCGCCACCGGGCTGGCCCCTGATAAATTCTTTGGACAGCTCATGCTTATACATGCACTGACATGGAGCTTATCCAGGTATGGGAAGTTCATGCTGCCTTAGAGAAAATAAATTGTTGGTAAGAAAAAGAGTGATTTGACTTTCTACATAAGATATTTTTCACATAGGAGGTGCCAAACATATCAGTTTGGTCTTTTTCAATTTTAGGAGGCCACACACTCTGCTCATCTATAAACCTGTAGTGAAATTGTATTTGCTGTCTACAAAATTTCTATGTTTGATGTTTTAAAAAATGTTGTATTCTGAAATACGGTGTCAGCATATTGCCTAAGTTTTTAAAATAGTTCTTTTATAGTAAGGGGAGATGTAAAGGAAAATCTTTTAATACTTCTAATTTTTTCATAGACACTATTAAAATTTGTGTGTGCCATTTGAAACTTTAAAAAAACCTTTTATGATGAATCAAGTAATGCAAAATATCTCAAGGACATAATGAATTATAGTTAAAGTAGTATGTTTTAGCCCTTCAACATTTGGGCAATAAGAGGGAATAGGCCTTGTCAGGACCTTAAAATCCTAAGTGGGCTTCAAATCAAAACTTTGCTCCTTTGAGTTACTGATTTACATAAAGTCTAACAGGTTTTATAAGAACAAGTAGAAAATGCTATTCAGAAAGCTGTTATAACTCTCAAGATATGGAATGTTTTTCGTTTATATTAACTAGTGTAGTTTTGTTATACATCTTCTTGTTTAAGGATATCTTGTATATATGTTGGTTCTGTTTCGTATTCCATGTCATAACATTATTCTGAGTAAAGTGATTTTCTTTGCTGCTCCATAGGTCGCACCTTCATCAGAGAGTGCTGAATTTCCCCAACTTGTGCCCTCAGCAGCGCCTCTTCCTGAAGCCTCACATGACCAATTTGTGGCTCAAGGTATCCTTTTAGGAAGACATTCTACTTTCACAAAGAAAATAAGTTGGTCCAGGCAGATTAGTTTGAAAGTAAATGTCTAGATAAGAACAAAATTAAATGTCACAGAACATGATAGAATAAATTAGAATAAATATATCAGAAATTAACAAAACAAATACTCTTAACTAATAAATGAGAATTTGGCCATCACGTATTTATTAGTTAAGCATAGATATTTGGTGTTTGAGTTGGAAACTGGATGGATATTAGTTAACTTCATTTTTCTCCCTATTTTGGGAAAACATTTCAATTTACAACAGTAGTCCACTTGAAAGTAAAGAGAATCTGGTCATAAGTATATTTCAAAGAATATGCTTACATTTTAAAGTACACAAAACATAATGAGTTTTTATTTTATTAGAAATGCATGGTAAGTAGCCTAGGATTTATTTTTGTTAGTGGCAGTATATAAATTTTACTCTTTGTATTAGGAATTGCTTCCAACTCTATTATACTTCAAACTTTATATATTTTGAAGATTACCACTTAGCTTTTGTTTATTCTAGACAGTACGTAGGCCTTTATTTTGTAGCATTAAATTCCTAACTTATAAGGAATATACTACCTGAAAAGGTGATTTTAGACACTGAAGTATAAGCATTTGCAGAGAAAATGCTTTCTAAAACTTCAGAAATACTTGCTTAATTAAGACTTTACTCTGAATTTTCGTTACAATATTTGTTCCATAACTTCCTAAACAACGTTCCATTTTGGTTTTTACTAATTTATGTTAACAATATACAAAAGTGTTTGATTATAGAAAATACTCATTTGATCCTCTTGAGAACAAAAGGAGAAAACTCAGATTGTTTAAATAGCTAAGGACACAGAGCATGAAATGAAATTTGATAACGAATTTCATGAACATTTATCTCTAAAAGTATGTTGCATTACTCTTAAGTTTTAACACCTTTATTGAGATATAATTCACATACCATACAATTCACCTGTTTTGAGTGTACAATTCATTAGTTGTTAGTATATTCACAGAGTTCTGCAACCATCACCACAACTTGAGAACATTTTCATTACCCCCAAAAGAAACTCTGTCCCCGTTAGCAGTCACTCCCGATCCCCCCCAGTCTCCCTAGCCCTAGACAATCACTACTCTACCTTTCTCTTTATAGATTTACTGTTTTGGAAATTTCATGTAAATGGAATCATGCAGTATGTGGTCTTTTGTGATTGGGTTCTTTCACTTAGCTTAACATTTTCAAGATTCATTCACGTCGTAGCATGAATCAGTACTTCATTTCTTTTTATTGCTAAGTAATATTCTGCTGTATGGATATACCACATTTTATTTACCCATTCATCAGTTGAGGGACATTTGGATTTTTCCACTTTTTGGCTATTATGAATAATAATGCTACAAACATTCATGTACATGTTTTTGTGTGGACATAGAGTTGTGTGGGGTTTTTTTGTTTGGGTTTTTGGTTTCATTATGCTCCATTTGGATTTCTTTTATTTTCAAGGATTGTGCTTAGGATGTGTGATTCATGCAGTTTTACTAGTTGCCAATCACTTCATCACTTCAGTGGTATATTTGACAAAAAAACTTTTTAATCCTTTTTGTTGAACCTGCCAACAAATCTTTGAATAGTGCTGGAAAGTATTAAATATATGTTGTCAATGAGCCTTAAGACTAGAGCAATTTTTTTGTTGTTATTACATATCTTTTTGAATTCTATCTCTTTAAAATAGTATTAAGATAAAAGTTTTTTTAGTGATAGTGAGATGTTAGTTCCCTTAGCTGGAACACCTAGCAGGATTTCCCAGTGAAGCCGGTTGGTCCTTTTATTTCTTGTTCTGTTAATTCTTGGTTAACTAGGGAATTATTATGTCCCAAAGGAGTTTAGAACAGGACGAGGAGAATGTTCTCTAGCAGGTACATTAGAGCCACTTTAGATATCCAACGTTTCATATTTAAATTTAGTTTCTAACTTTTGTAAAAGAAAAATTCTTTTATAAGAAATAGAGCCTCTCGTGATCTGTAAGTCTACATTTGATATACAAAGTTAAAAGGAATCATTAAAAAATAAAAAGGTTAGTATATTTGTGTACTATAGATATAAATAACTGAAATAATTCTTCCAGATAAAATATAAAAATTTTATTGAATACTATGTTGAATGAGTAGGAATTTCTTGAATGCTGTGCCCCTCCCCTTTTATTAGTATTCTTTTCTTCTGTATGCTTGCCCTAGAAAAGCTGAAGACATGTAATACATATTTTGTGAAGATTTAAATTTTTCTCTTAAAACCATTTGAGCTATTTCTGTGGAATTACGTAAATTTAATTTTCCTAGTTTTATTTGGTTTAAAATATCCAAACTTTCTTGACAATATATAGTCCCAAAGTGTCTCCCCAAAGGAATTAATTAATTAATTACAAAGGGAAAAATTATAACTTTACGATGGGTAAACCTAGTCAACACCACCTTTCTCAAATGGTCCAAGTTCACACCACCAGTGATGGGACAAGCAGAAATCATGTTTGTCCTCATATGGTATTCTGAAGATCTGATCATGAGGAAACATCAGACGTCAGACATTCCACAGAAGATGGCCCGTGTTCTTCACAGAATGTCAGGGTCCTGGAAGACAGAGCAAGACTGAGGATTCTTCCAGTTTAGAACCCAGAGACTTGACAACTAAATTCAGAGCATGATCCAGAATTGGATCCAAATAAGAAAAAGAACTGTTTTTCCTTTGCTATGAAGGATATTAGTGGGACGATATGCAAAATTTGGAAAAGGTCTATAGATTAGATAATACCACTGCATCAGTGTATTTTCTGGTTTTGATAATTGTACCGTGATTATAAAAGACAAAGTCCCTGTTTAGGAAATTAGTTTAGGGTTAAAGGGACATTATGTCTGCAACTGACAAAGAGTTTATGAGAAGATACGTGGGTAGATAGGTAGATAAATTGTGGTAAAATATTAATATTTAGAGATCTGGGTGAAGGTATATGGGAATTCTTTGTACTTTAGTACTTTCTGTAAATCTGAATTTATTAAAAATATAATATTTCTTTAAAAAAGAAATAAGATGTGAGGGTTGTCAGGGAAAGCCTTCAGGCAGATTAGCTTTCTTGCTAACATTCCCCTGCTGAGTCTTCTAGGAAAGGTTCACAGTCCCATATTTTCAATTCTAAAATCCAGAATCTCTGAAAACTGAAAGTTTTCTCAAAACTCACTGGTAGTATAACTTGCCCATACCTGAATACGTTTGGCTGCAAAACCTGACCAGGACTGGTTTGAGGTTGTATTTGCTCCTTTATCCATCCTACTTACTGTGATTGTGCTTATGCTGCCCTGCAGAAATATTTATTCACTATGGAGTGTTGCCTGAGAGCCCGTTGGAGGTGTTAATTAATGGATGGTACATGTATCTTATTATTTTTCTAAAATCCAAAAATATTTTGAATTCTGAAGTACTTCTGGGCCCTAGAGTTTCGGAAAAAAGATTGTGGACAATCTGTTTGTTCCTCAACATCTGAATGCTTGTGACACAAAACCATGCTCCGCCCTTCTTACACTCTTGCCATCACTTCCCTCTGACACTCTCACCCAAGGCAGACACATACACATCCTTGTACGTGTATACCACGCATGCGCGCACACACATGCACGCACGCACACACACACACACACACACACACAGTGAAGGAGTGGGATGTCTAACTCCCTGGCCTCAGGGTTGAGATGAGTCTGCACTAGAAGAATTCCCCAACCATCTGTCTTGGGCACTTTCAGGAACTTTGCTCTGATTATCAGAACTTGTGGATATTGTACATAACCACATAACCACAAGGTAAAACACAGTGATGATTTTTGTGCTTGTTTCCAGTGGTAGGTCAGCATGAAAGTGTGTCACCACGGCTTCCTCGTGATTCCTCCCTCTCTGCTCCTCTGCCCAGACAGTGTGTTTTTGTCACTCCGCCTCTTCTGTCAGCTGTGTGCAGCCTCTTAGACAGCCTTTTGGCGATTGCTCCAAGAGACACTGCGGATGCTTTTCGACAAGCTCGTCTCATAGAGCTTCTCTGTAGGTAAGAGACCAGTACTCCCAGAGACACGTGATAGTAGGGATGCATTTATGCAAGCTATATTCATGACTCGATGTAAGACTTTATGTATACTGGGAATAGATCTTTATCCTTTTTTAGGCTCATTAAACTGCAGGTTTTTGCTTTTGTCAGAATTGTCTTGACAGCTTTTATTTTAGGTCTGTTAAACCACTTTTATTGGTTTGTTATGTTGACTATTAAGGCCCATCCTCAAAATCCTGATTTTTTAAAATTCAGAAGTTCTAAACCTTATTTGTCCTCTGCCACACTCAAGGAATATCCAGTTCCCTTGGTCATTCTAAATGGAAGTGAAGGAGTTTGGGGATTTATCTCCCTAGTGGTCATATCACAATAATGTTCATGGATTAAAAAATCATTTTTTGAATTCATTTGGGAGACTGAACTTTTTATTAGAAAGTATTCTAATAAAATTTAGGGAAATCATGATTTGGTTCTTTCATTTATCTAATTTTAATAAGCCTCTGATATAACTTTTTCTGATTTTCCATTTGGTTATATGGTATAGTTTAAAAGGCCTTATATATTGAATTTAGTCTGACTTAAGGTCTAATTACAGTTCATTCACTCACCAGTGTTGCAGCCTTGGGAAAGTTACTTTAATCTCTGGAGTGTCAGTAATAACACCTATTTAATGGGGTTAGCATGAGGCTTAAAGTGATGAGGTCTTGGGTACTCTCTTGTCTATAGTCAGTGTTACTTCTCTTCTCTGTACCCACCTTGTGTTAACCACATATTCATTTGCATTTCTCAGCTCTCTGTTTCTGCCCTTTGAACATTCACTGTCTGAGATGTCTTCCTCCTTCTTGCCAAATCACAGTGCTTTCTCTTTCTTTTTAGGATATTAAGAAAAGTCTACAAATAAAGACGTTTTCCTTGTTGCGCTTCACTCAGTTGTGATTACGCCTTTACCATTTATAATAAGCAGCGAGGTGTGAATTTGTTCTGTTTACCTTCATTTGTCATCTTTCTTCTGTGACGCCTCCTAGAGTTGGGAAAAGGAAACTGCTGGTTGGTTGTCTTTCCTTCTTGGATGTTTCCTGCTTCAAGAATGACCGAAACGGAGCTCTAGGAATATTCTTGTTTCTCCAGAGTCAGAATCTGTTGTGGCATTGAGGGCACAGAGATATTAAAGGATCTTTTATGGCAAAGCCTTATCATGTTTCCATACTTGTTCTTTATTTCTGACTTAAAAAATTTTTTTTCCTATTTGTTTTACATTATTTTGTTTTTTACTTACTAAATCAGAACTAATTTCCTAGCAAGTGTTTTTCGTATTTTAAATAGGAACCTAACCACCAAGGTTTTTCTCTTGTTTGTTTTCCTTCTGAAAGGGCTTCATTATATTTTATTCTGCTTTTAATAAGGTTTCATTAGATATTTTTCTTCAGAATTCCTTGCCTCCTGCATTTATCATATAAGGTCTTTTCCTGTGTTCTGAAATATTGTAGAATACCTTTTTATAAATATTGTCTTTATTTATCAAAATCCTTTCTCTTGAATTCCATTCAAGGTTACTTTCAAACTTCAAATTCTGATTTATTAATCTTTAATAAGAAGCATACTAATCGTCTACAGAGTGACCTTTTTCCGTCCTTCACAGTATTGCAGATGCCGCCCTCATAGAGACATGTGTCCAGGAACTCAAGGCCCCGCTGCCTTCGTCTCCTCCAGTTGAGCACACACAGGCTCAGGTAAGTGCCTCAGGTCTCCCTCTCGCCTCGTGTCTGTCTATGCATTCATTTGCTTTAAGGGCCAGAAACATAAATTCTGCTGAGGATATGTTAACCATAGGAGAGGGGTGAAAATCTCTCAGGATATGCATGGTGTGATGAGGTTAGTTGAAAAAGGTTACTTAACATTTTAATCTGAGCTGTGTTTGGATGGTAGAAAAGAGCAGTGGGGTTTGAAGACCTAGACTCCTTTCCTGATTCCATCATTAACCAGCTGTGAAGGTTTAATCACAGATCTGGGTGTATTTGAGCACCATATTAGAAAAGGGGACATTGTATAGCCCACCTTCTCCTGTGATTTTAAGCTGTCTCTGTCATTGTCACCTAAATTGAAGTTGTGAAAATACTTAGTGACTAAGTTCTGTGTAATTTTAAAACCCAGTCTAATAAAAATAAATTTATTTTTGTTCCTTCACAGGTATTTACTATTTTTAAGTTCTTGCATATAGCTAGAGTCTGTATGTAAAGTGTGCTTAACAAGTCTTTGTATAGTTGTTGCTAATAGAAACATTATTTCAAAATAAAATTTTAAGAAGACTCCAAGATTTATTTGGAGTGATAATTAAAGGTGCACTAGACCAGTGTCTCTTGCTTGTGATGTCTCCTTTGAGCTTGCTGAATCAGCAGACCCTTACCCAACACGATGCGTGTCATCTTTGAAACACCTGTCCCAGTACAGTGTTTTCATTTATGAGTGTGCTTATTTACATAATGGCTGTCTCCTCCGTTTTTCTGTCTGTCCATCCAACAAATCTTTATTGAGGGCCTACTAAATACGAGGATCTTCTCAAAGTAAATAAAACAAAAACCCTTCCCCTTAAGTTGGGAGGGCAGATCATGAACAAGTCCACGTATGCCTGATGGTGATAGACATAGAAGAAGAATAACTAAAGCAGGGGACAGGAAGTGGTGTCAGAGTTGGGAGGGTAGGGCTTTTCCATTTAGGGTGGTCAGGGAGGGCCTTTGAGACAGTGACATGTGACCTGAAGTAAGTGAGGAAGCCAGTCCTGTGGGACATATCAAGGCCCCTGAGATTGGGATATGTTTGGCTTATCCAGGAAACAGCAAGGAGGCCAGAGTGGCTGGAGCAGAATCTGTGAGGGAGAGATGAGGTCGGAGGGTGAATGAGCCCCATTTAAAGGCAAGGCCTTGCCTCTTTTTGTGCGCCATTGTATCCTGAGTGCTGAGCACCGTGCCTGTTCCATGGCAGGCGCTCATCCAGTACTTGTGGAATGAATGAGTAATAACAGTAACAATCGTTTATGGGGTACTTGTTTATACTCATTTATGTAATCCTCACAACAAGCACAGGAAGTACTATTAGTGACCTATTTTATAAAGGAAATGACTGGGTTCAGAGATGAGTAACTTGTCCAGGTCACTCACACAGTAAGGGGCAGAGCCAGGATTCCAGCCCACAGAGGTTGGTTCTAGAACCCACATTCTTAACCATAGCACTACCTGGCCTTTATGTAGACTAAATGCTTGGCTATTTGTCCTTGTACAAGATCATTCATTCATTCCAGAAAAGTTCTGGAGCATCTGCTCTGCCAGGTTGTGTTGTAGGTACTAATGACACATCTGTGAACAAAGCAGACACACCCCTGCCCACAGGAAGTCTGTGTCCCAGGTGCAGGAGACAGACAGTAAATGGTAAATAAAATGTAAAGTATTTTATCACATGGTAAAAGAGGGTGGGTAAAACAGAGGTTGCTGTTTTTTGGGGGAGTAGACAGAAAAGGCCTGGTGAAAGTGAGGTTTGAGAGAGACCTGAGGAGGGGAGGAAGCAGGCCGGGGGTGGCTGGGTAGAGTGTGGGCAGAACTCTGCACAGTTGCAGTCAGCCAAAGGCACGAGTGTCCTGAAGTGTGTGGTTGGTTGGTTGGTCTATTTTTTTGAAGAAAGAGTTTCAAACATAAAAAAGAGTTACTTCATGAACTACTATATCAATATTTCATTAAATCTTCAATATGGTAATTTACAAAAGAGTCTTTGGCAATTTAGCTGTTCTCTCTCTCTAACATTGGCTTTTGTTTTCCATGGTTTATCTATTTATGGTAATACTTCAGATGCCCAGAGGTCAGACTTGTTGTAATTTCAATAGTGTAGAAGATGAAGGGATCAGAAAAGACTTCACAGCCATAAGGAAATTAAATTTCACAAACTGCTTGCATTTTACCCAATAGGAGAAGTGTAGAGCCACCTATACTTTTATATAAAAGAAGTTGGCAGATGAGATAAAGGAAGGACATACTCCTCAGGAGAATAGGACAGAAGAACTATTTTGAAATAGTCTGAGGCCTTTTATTTTAGAGGGACATATCCCTCCACAAATGCAGAACAGTCCCTGCCTCTCGCAATAGCAGAATAAGGTGGGAGGGTAAAAAGTGTGTTTGTGTGTACATGTGTGTACAGAGAGAGAGAGGCTTCAGAATCTCTCTGTAAAGTTCTTTTATGTGAACACGCTTGTGGCCTGGGGGTAGCGAATAAATGAGACATTACAGCTTGTTCTTTAATTATTACATATCTAGAGAATTATTTTTTTATTTATTTATTTTTTTGTGAGGAGGATCAGCCCTGAGCTATCATCTGCCAATCCTCCTCTTTTTTTTAGCTGAGGAAGACTGGCCCTGGGCCAACATCCGTGCCCATCTTCCTCCACTTTATATGGGACGCCACCACAGCATGACTTGCCAAGCGGTGCGTCGGTGCACGCCCGGGATCCGAACTGTCGAACCCTGAGCCGCCGCAGCGGAGCGCACGCACTTAACGGCTTGCGCCACTGTGCCAGCCCCCAGAGAATTATTTTTTTAAAAGTACTTTTGCCAGTTAATACTTTTTGTAATATTAGCATCAAGCAACATTCCAGAAATGGTTTTATTGGTAATATTAGAGAAGATTTAATTTTTCTTCTATAATTAAGGATAGTAATTTTATGCTGAAGGATAGTTGAGGGCAAACATTGACCATATTTGCATTTTATTTGTAGCAATAACTAGACAATTAGGCTAGCTTCCTTCACCCCCGAATTGTGTGCTTTGAAGAATATTTGTAATCTTTCTTTCTTTACAAAATTGTAGGCTTTATGGTTTTGGAATGCCCTTTTCTGCTTCTTACAGAATATTGATTCCACAGTTGAGCTAGTTGAAAAATATAAAAGCTTTCTTTCGCTAAATGGAATTCATAATTTGGTTTTGAAAATATTGTTTTGTTTGATATTCGTATAGTTGACAATGAGTGTTAATGTCGCCACGAATGACCTCCTTGTGAGAAAAATAATGCTTTTTCTGCTATGTATTCATTTCAGGTTTTTAAAATTTATGATTAATATTTTATTAACTTATGTTACAAAGAAGTGACTTACAATTCATAGAAAAGTGAAATACTTTATCACTGAGATGAGCTCGTCATGTGATATGTTTTGTTTTCCTTCATCTCCTTTTTCAAATAGGCGTCCTTCCTCCTAGAGTACCTGTCCTCTTTGTCTAGGCTTCTGCAGTCATGTTTGTTGGTAGATCCTGACCTTGTGATTCAGGACGAGCTTCTGAGACCTCTTATCACAAACATCATCAGAGTCCTTACCATATGCACCAAAGATGTATTAGGTAAGCTTTATGTTTTTAGTGTAGGCTGGAAGTAAATAATATTGAGGAACAAAATCTTACTCTGTGCCAGATATATACTTCAAGGTTACATTTTGAGTTGTTCTTTGCCAGTATTTTGGAAGGCTTTTATGATGTGTTTTATAGTTTGGATGTTTTAAGTGGTTCCAGGAGACCATTTGAGGCAAGTATGTGTGTGATAAAGAGTCATCCCCTGTGCTGTCAGTTTAAATGAGGGTAAAGTTCTTTATGTTATGTTAGAAAGTACAGTGAATTTGAGGTATTAATTATTCCTATAAACTATGGCCAAGGCCAGATGACCTACTAATAACACATTTGCAATAACAAGCATAAGCAAGGCTAGGAGATAGTATCAAAAATTTCCTAAGGTTCAAAATTACTGAAAAATATCCTCTAATGAAAAGTTGAGTATAGTGTTTAGTATTGGAAAAAATTAAAACAATGTAGGATCTTTATCAAAATTAAAATATAATTGTCTAAAATAGTCTGTAATGAAGTAATTGATCATTTGGTAATTCTCTTTGCCTATCAGTTCATTCTTATTTAGTCCTTTGAATTTTATGGATTTGCTTTATTTTAGATCTGGTAAGTGAAATGTTTTATGATGCCTACAAATCCAGTCCTCAGTGTCTCATCACTGTTAAAATTATCCCAATGCTAGAGGAGCAGTAATTCCTTACTTGGAAATTTTACAAGTGGCAGTGATGTAAGCTAATTAGGTTAGACAGTGCATTCTCTACAAGGAGCAAAGGAGCAAAAATTGATTCTTGGGGGAACAAAACCCTAGCTATTATAATAGTTTGTGGCCCTCCAAAGCTCAACTCTACCCCATAAGATCTTATTCCTTAGTATTTAATTCTCTTGTTGGATTTTCTTGGGTATCACTTGAGAAGGATTGGCATTGAGCTCGTGGAAGATACAGAAGAAATATGCAAGATCAGTGCTAAAAAACTGTGGCGCATACATGGTGTGACTGGAGGTCACATGGCAAGAGGTGGCCTGTGCATCTTGGCTGCCATTGGCTGCCTTGTGGATGTTTTTATTGATTCTCTTGCTTTTGTATGTGACTTGGGCTTTGAGAATTAAATTACAATAGTATATATTTTATTATTTAATTATATAAAAGTTATTTAACCCATAATTAATTATGTCAAGGGCTGAAAAGAAAAAATGTCATATGAATGTATATCTATCTACCAGATGGTTAAAAGTTATTTTCTCGTACCTAACAAAAGTTAAAAGTTCACTAAAATATTTTTAAGAAATTAATTAATTGAGTTTTTAATGACTTTATAAAAAATTTATTATATTTCTAGTATGTATTTATATGATTTGCTAGTTTTCATCTATAATTTGATACATTTTAATTTATATGAGTAAATAAATTAAAAGTTATTCAGCAAGCACAGTTATAAAGTTAAATGTTAATAGCTTTTTAGTTTTTAATTTAACTTTCAACTTAAATATTTATTGGCCATCTTAGGCCTGTATTGAATAAAATCAGTAAGCTTTATACTTTCTATTTGAAAAAGTACAGATATACAGATAGTACATAAACAGATGCATAGTATCTGTGGAATTAATATTTCATGGGGAGGGTGATGAGGAAACATGTCCATAAAGACTCCTTATAGAACTGATAATAACAAAAATGTTGAGAAGCACCAAGGATTGCTGTAATCCAAACTCTCTGGAAGTACTCTTTCCAAACGCCTCTTGGGTGCTGGAGAGCACCGAGGTGGAAGCCAGTGGTTTGCTTGGTAATGGAGTTTGACAAAAGCTGGCAAATGCTGCTGGTGATGTGGTCGGAGAAGACGGTCCTAAGATAGCCTGCTCTCCAGCTCCCATTTGCCAAGAAGAGAGAAGGGAAAGCTGTGCTTGCCCTCGAAGGTTAATTGCTACCTCCTTAGCCATGGGCAGAGCTGCAGAATCCTCTGTGTATCATGTTTTCTTTAGGGAGTAATACTCTTCTCTGTTCTTCAGAGAAATTCTCCTTTCTTTTCTGCCATGACCTTGGCACGTTATGTTTTCCCCTTTCACCCCTGCACAAAGCTGCTAGAGAGGATAAAGAAAACAGGAGAAACTATAGAAGTAGCACAATGACACGTTTTTACAACGTGCCTATGTAGTTCTGAAGCTATGGCTTAATATTCAATTTGTCACACTTTCTGGTTATTGTTGAATACGTTTTAATAAGAGGAGGATGTGTGAGTGTGTATTTATTTGTCTAGAGGAGAGTGAGTGAAGAAGAGATATCTTTAAGAAACAATGGAAAAGCGAAATTAATTGAAATAAATTTTGGATCACGCTGAATTACATTTGTCTTCATTTGACAAATACATACCTCTTATTATAAGTGTAATGAAGTGTCTGTTGAGTTTTGTATTTTAAAAGGTTCTTTGTCTTCTTTGTGTTAATAACTTGAAATGTTTTGATTAATTTATAGATGTAGAGTTAATATCGACTTTTTATCAGACGTGGACACATTTGTTTAACCTTCTGGCCACACTCCTGAGGAAAGCTGGGGCTGCCTCTCTCCCATCTATTACGATGGGTCTGGCCAAGCACTGGGCAGCGGTGATTGGTGAGAAGATACTCTTACTGGGCTTGGGGTCTTTCTGCTAATAAAAATTAAAATAATCATTATTTATGATTTTATATATATATGTATTCTCTAAAATTAAGTAATTTTATGGCATGGCATATGAAACCAGGTACTTGGTTTGGGAAATTTGCAGTGCTCTTGAGGAGTCCAAAAAATGCATTTTTGAAAAATTGAAACACATTTCAAGATACCATAAAAGTAAGTAAGAAAAGCCTGTGGTGTTATGAAGATACATATGACATGATTATAAAACAGTGAGATAGATTTTCTTGTGTTGGTGTAGAAACCAGTCTCTTTCCTCATATATTTGCACTGTAAGTGGGTAAATCTGCATATATAAAATCCTGTGTATGCAATAACATGGAAAGTTGTAATAAAAACAGTGTGTTCTCTCAAGACACAAGGATTTTCTTATAGCATGGAAATGCCAAGAGTATAGTCTAGTTAATTATCTTTATCAGATGTTTTCCATATAATAGTTGTCACTAGAATAAGCAAATGATTGTTTTTTAAATTAACTCGTCTTTAATTTTTCATAAAGTCTCTTCTAAATTTTAGCATTGCAAGAAGACTTTTTTACGTAAATGTTTACAAATAACATTTATGCTACTTTGGTTAAATAACCAGTTTAAATGCATTCACAATTGAGTTCTTTTAAGTTTCCAAGTTATCACTAATTCAGTTGACTTATTTTTTTAGATTTTATTCTATCATTTGGTGATTCTGCAAACTTAGACGTATGATACATTTTGGTATCAGAGTGGTAGTTTTGAAGTAAGATTTATGGGGAAATACATGTTGAACAAGAAAAAGAATTGTTAGCTGTCTGGATATGGGGGTGTTCTGAGTTTACGCTAAGGGGAATAGTGTCCAGTTAGAGATCATTGTCTTGTTAAAAGGTAAAAATTGAAAGCAATTGACTGATGGAGTGATTGAGATTTTCCTCTCGCATCCGTGTGGGTGGGAATTAGTTTACCACCTGAATCACTAATAATATAAAGCAAGATGCTTTATGGGACACCAAAGCCACCTGATCAAATCAGGCCCACTGCCTGTTTTGGTAAATAAAGTTTTATTGGAACACAGCCACACTGATTCATTTACTGATTGCCTGTGGCTGCTATCATGCTACAGCAGGAGAGTTGAATAGTTGTGAGAAAAGCATATGACCCGCAAAACATAAAGTATTTATTTACTCTCTGGCCTTTGCAGAACACGTTTGCTAACCCCTGATTTAAGCCTGTTTACCTGACACTATTCCCCTAGAGATAAAACAAAGGCATATTAAATTCAAAATCTTTCTACAAAATACATAGATAGTTTTATATGCTAATCAAAAATAACCTACTATATAAATAGCTTTGATAATAGTAATGTTAATGAAAACTAATAAAAATGATCATTGATATTCCTTGCTATGGAGTTAATTGTTTTTGTTTGTTTTTTGTTTTTCTTATCATTTTCCATCTCCTGTGCCCATGCACATTTAAAACATGGTCGCTCTGTAACTTATGTTGTCTATAACAATCTTTTCTCAAACCTGACCATATTTAGACATCATTTAAATGAACATAATTCTCATGAAACCCCACTGTTGACTAAATTATTTTTCTTATGTTACTTAAGAACATAAGAATTTCTGTAAGCCTAAATCTAGGTGGAAATTCTTATGGTTATAACTCTTACACAAATTTAGATCCAAAATGTAAAAATAAAACACCACAAAATTATAAATCAGTGCTATCAAATTAATAAAATTAATGCAATGCAGCAAATGTTCTTTTGATTAAATTAAATCAGTGCTCACAACAGGAAATTAAACTCTTGTTATGTTTGCAAATCAGTTCATAACCACTCTTGTTCTCTATCTGAACTACCCTGAAACCTTTGATCATACATCATGCCAACAGTGCATACTAAGTCTTATTTTAAGTACTGTTTCGCATCAGCTTGTTTGAAAATAGAAACACAATCACAATTAGACGGTGGTAATCTAGATAATCCAGAGTATAGTTACATTAGGCTTATTTTTTAGGTTAGCACTGAAGTAAAAATTAAAAAGCAAAAAAATCTAGAGACTTTGTGGATCTCAGTAGACCACAGAGGGATCAGTACTCATTTATATATAATTGTCTTATTTTGGGTCTTAGCAAAGATTGTGTATATATGCATTTGCGCGCCCACACACACACACTGTCTCTCACACTCATTCAGATAAAAGAGAGCCCATATAAAAAGAACAAAATGAAAATTAAATAGATTCCTTGATTCAGTATGTTATCTTAGTACTATTTAAATTACTTTTAAGCACTAGACTTACTCTTGTGATACTTGAACCATTGATAACTTTACTTCATTAGAAGTGAAAAAGCTATAAACTTAGTTACTTAAATCAATCTAATTCACTTTTTTAATTCTGAAGAAGTTTTCAGACATTTGCATATGGAATTATTCTCTCTTTTAGAGATGTTCTGCAAATGTGTGGGTTTGTCTACTACATGCCCTTCCCTCTACACGGCCAGCCTGCAATTCCTTTCTATTCTCTTGACTGAAGAAGCAAAAAGGTGTCTCCGGGATAAGGATAAAACAAATTTATGCCGCAGTCCAACAATGGCTTCACTTCTTGATAAAAGTCAGGAAAATCAGAAATCTCTAGAACGACTTAATGAAGTAATTATTCAGGTAAGTGATTTCTTGATTTTTCAAAACTTGGTTTAGTGTTTAGTCTTGGTCTTGTAAAAATTTTTTTAATCATTTTCATTAAAAAGTAATTAATGCTCATTATGACCATTTAAATAATAGAAAAATATATAAAATTAAATTAACCATCTCCTCTCCACTTCTACCCCTCCGATGTTGACCAGTTTCTTTAATGAATATGATGTAAAAATTCAAAATGAAATATTAGTAATCTAAATCCAGCAGTTTATCAAAATAGTGTGCTGTATCATGACCAAAATGGGTATATTTCAGGATTGCAGGCATAATTCATAATTTTACATCTTTGAAGATATATTTACCTAAATGACATTTGATTTTATGTAAATGGACTACGTATATTTAAGGTGGTGATGTGTATAGAGGTACGCAGACTTGGTTGGCACATTTGTGAGAACATGCCCCCTTTCCAAACCCTACTGCCTATTTTATCTTATAAACTTATTTTTTGCAATCCTAAAATATGAACTAAGAATTTTGTTTTGTCAAAAACATTCTAAAATCACTCAAGTATTGTTATTTTATAAATAGATTCACAAAAAAACGAAGTGTTTCCTAAGTTGCACAATTGTTTTTTACAGGTAGGAATATTACTAGATTTTTCAATATTAAGAAATGTCCAATATTAAGAAATAAGCTCCTTTTTAGTAATCACATGGTTTTTGTCTTCTCCCCGAAAGGGGGAAGAGTGGTAGACGTGCACATTCAAGAATGTGCTTCTGCTTCCCAGTCGGCCAGCCACGTCTTACAGACGGAAGCTTGTTCCTGTGTGCTGACTTGCTGTAGTCCCTTCGCTGCTTGGGGTTTGGGGATTCTGCGCCTTTTCTGCCTGTGAGAGCCGTGGTTGTGCTCCCTGCTCCGGCTTGAGCTGCCTGTGGAGGGTCACGGGCTCCTCAGGGGACTTTTGTCGCCCTTGCCCAACAGACTATAGGTGCCTTGGAAGCACAGATACGGAGCCTGATAAGGGGTCCCCAACATTTTCTCCTCTTCTGGACCAACTCCTTTGGAAGCTGCATCTCGGGGTGGGGGGGGGAGGTCCTCAAAGCATTTCTCAAAGTCACTTATCGTGGGAGGCCACAGCTTCCCTGAAACTACTGCCTCACTCATTCCACTCAACTTTTCTTAGTTTAAAACCGAAACTAGACATTGTCCCAGTTATCTCATTCACCGTCAGAACAACAGGCTTTATTCCCCCAATAATTAACTGAGTCTGATTTTGTACTTTAGAGAATACTCTAAGCAGGAAAACTGAAACTCACACCTTTTCAGAAGTCCTCTCCCAGCCCCAATTCAAAAGTTATTAATTTCCTGACTTTGGCTTTGGTAGAACACTGTTCTCCTGGAGAAGGCACATGCTTTCCTCTTCAGGGGGAATGTAAATGACTCGAGGGCCCCACATCAATTTCTTTTCTTCAGTGAGGGCAGTGTGCTGGCCCCCTCCCCTGCCCAGGCCAGAATGCCTTGACCTGGGAGCCTTGACCACAGCCATGACCATGGTTCCTGCAGCCAATCCTCCTGGACCTGGTGAAATTTAAAGACCTCCAGCCTTCAAAGCCAAGGCTATTCCATTTCCCAGCTCTTTCCTCTTGCTTGTTAGTGGTGGTGTGTTTCAAGGAACCACGATTAGACTTGTGATAAATATGGGTCCATGTGGGAATGATGAACCGGATTAAAATCGTGTATGTAGTAAAAACTACGCCACAGGAATTTGCTTAAATTTACCTTGCCCTTATTTTTCCCTAATATTTTGTAATATTATTTATTATAAAAGTTATTGTTTATAATCTTTTGCTCTTACTTTCTTAGCCAAGGAAAATGAGGTATCCCAGAGCCACAGGGTATCTCAATGGTTTTCCTAATGATTAGCTAATTTTCCTCTCCATTTCTTCCAAATTACAAAAGATATAAAGTATTCCATGTGGATATGGATACATTAACCAGTTATTTAAACTGTGTTTCCTGATAAATCATACTCTTCTTGTTCATGTAAGCAGTAAAATACAAATACGTGATGTTTGTTAGAAGGGTACAGGCGAGTTTTAGACAAAGAAAGTAAAGACAGGAATTGTATGTATGGCACACTTATGAGAAAATGGTATGCCTGCTGTCAGATGGGACATTTATTAATGAGCTTGTTAAACTACAAACACTGTATTTTCTTTGCTCTTCCCTATATAAAGATGATATGTGAATTAAAATATTATTAGAATCCATTAAATAGCAGCACATTATAATAAATAATATACATCCATGTAGTCTGTGGGTTGTGCCAGGTGTTATATAGGAAGCAAAGTAAACTACAATCTTTAAATTATCAGAAGAAATAGTATTCTAAAATTGGTGGCTTTCAAAGTTATATTTAAATTCTGTGTAAAACTGTACTCAAAAAATATTAGATGTGAGGTGCCTGCCCCGTGGCATAGTGGTTAAGTTTGTGCACTCCGCTTCAGTGGCCTGGGGTTTGCGGATTCAGATCCCAGGCGTGGGCATACGCACTGCTAATCAAGCCATGCTGTGGCAGGTGTCCCACGTATACAGTAGAGGAAGGTGGGCATGGATGTTAGTCCAGGGCCAATCTTCCTCAGCAACAAGGAGGAGGGTTGGCAACAGATGTTAGCTCAGGGCTAATCTTCCTCACCAAAAAAAAAAAAAAATTTAGATGTGTGACCTTAGGCATATCACAGAACCTCTTCTAATTCAGTTTTTCAAATGCAAAATGAGAGGATTGTATTACATTATTGCTGAGTTTCAGCTGGCTCTAAAATTCTCCATCCTCCTAGTAAATTGTTATATTGTAACTTCAATTAAAATGTCTTGGCAGAGAATCTTTTAAATGGCTCCTTTACAGCAGTATCCAAGGGGGATACATGTTGAAAGTTTGCATCTCGTACTTAAATAATGTGTAAATTAATTTTTTCATAATTCCATTTTGAGGTGGTTTCAGGATTTGAGTATTCTCTAAGAAACTATTAGCTGTCTTTTGACCATGAAATATTGGAACACATTTGACTTAATGGAGATTTTGTGTTGCCTGGTGAGATACTCAATACATTTCATTTGCAAATACATATAGATAACAAGGTTAATAAAAACTCTATAGTAGTAGGTTTTGTCTGTAAATGATATGTTGAATTATTTTTACTCCTTATATTTGATCTGATATCTAAGGGTAGTAATGCAAGAAAACAAACTTTTCTGTCACATTTTAGGTGTTTAGTGAGTGGTAAAATTCACGAGTAAATCTGTTGGAGAGAAGGCTTATATATTTGAGATACTGTCGTGTTAATGAATGTTCACTATAATTAAAAAGCCTCTTCTTTACATTGGTACCTTTTGGAAAGAAAGCAAAAAGTCTTGACTTAGAATTTCTAGATCACTTAGTGTATAGAAGAAATTAGATCTAAAAAGAGCATAGCATCTAAATAAACTGCACTGAGTCGTCTTTTTTTCTCTCTACCTATGGTTGACAAAAAGACAGATTGTTTCTTGCTCTGTATCCTGTAGATGTAATTTTCCTCTGTGTGTGTCTGCATCATCCAGAAGCTAGTTGTCTGTCACTTTAGCTCTTGGACGTGGACTCTTAGCCTCTGCCCTCCCGCCGGGCTTCTCCTGCTGTCAGCCATGTGCCCCTGCTCTGTGTGCCTGTGGATGCTCAGAACTGCTTTCAGAGCGCATTAAGTGCTACAGGGGAAATGATAGGAATCCAGTCCTGTGCTCTGACCTTCAGTGTGTGTTGAAAAGTGTGTGGGTTTGCTGTAGGTTAGTCCTGTTTATTTCTTTTTTGTTTGTTTTCAGTTTGGGCTTTCGTATCAGTTTTACCCTGTACACATTTTAGAGTGCCAAACAGTTTTATAAGTTTTTTACCCAAAGTAGGGGACTTCTGCCTTCTTCCCTCATTTCCTTCTTCTCAGAGGTGACTACTTACACCTCTTTTAGCTTATTACTTTGTGCTTTACCTTCCAAGTCTCTGAATAGCATGCTTGTATTTCTCTGTCTTGATTATTCAGTTTTGGACAGTGCCTATTGATTTCCTACTGTGGAAGATGAGACTTTAACCCTCTTTCCACCCCTCACTCAGCCCTCCACCCACAGTGGGTTCCCTTCTCACTCCCCCGTGTTACACGTCTTCACGTTGACGGGAGAGTAGGCAGCGTACAGTGTTAAATCTGGGAAAACGACAGACACAGTTGAACTGGCTGCAATGTTTACATTTCTTTTCCTGCACAGCTTTCCTTTTCCTTAGAGTCAATTTTAATTTTTAATTTGCTTAGTTTTCTGTTATCACTGATAAGCTCCATGCTCTTTGCCAGCAATCAAATGTCCTCTCATTATATTCAGAAATGTCAGAACTTATATCAGCTTCATCTTCTGGAAGAAATCACTCCCAATTTCTTCTGACCTGCCTGGTTCCTAGTGTCACCCTGGGGTCTCCATTCCCCTTCTTCCGGGGAATTCCTTTACCTCTCTATCCTGTGATCTCCTGTATCCCCTGTCCCATGTCCTCCTTTCCTGGTTCATGCCCTCCTTTTGGTAGAGTCTATTCTCCAGCAGCTTCCGGAGAAAAGGTGCAGAGGAGGCTTTTTTGAGTTCTAGACATCTGAAAGTCTTTTTCTACCCTTACATTAAATTTGTAGTTTGGTCAAGTGAGAATTCTAGATTGGAAATCATTCACTTCTGGGTTTAGAAGGTGTTGTCTGTTTCCTTTAATTTCTTGTGTTACTGTAGAGAATTCTGAAGCCATTATGATTCCTGGTTTCTCTCTCCTGGAAAGTTTTAGATTCTTTTTGTCTCTAGTATTCTACATTCTCCTGATAAAGTACCTAGGTGGGAGTCTCTTTATCTGTTGTGCTGGGCTCTGGGGGTCCTTTCCATCTGTAAACTCCTGTACCTCCTTCAATAGGTCTGTAGCTATTCCCTGTCAATGAAGTTCCAAACTCTGTATGTTTGGAACTCCTGTTAAGTTTTATTTTTCCTACACAGTTTCTCTTTTCTTCTTTCTCTCTTTATTTTGATTTCTATTTTCTGGTTAGGGGCTTTTCTCAGGTATCTGGTAATCTTGATTGTCTCTATATTTAAAACTGGGAGACTTATAGCAGATTGGAAGCCCTGAGCATCTCAGGGGAGCTTGTCAACTGCAGCCTGTACTGTGTAAGGGGATTTGGCTGGTCACTTTGTGACCCTGTCTTCTTGAGCTTGTCAGATTCCCTAGAGAAGAATCTTCTGATCTCCTTGCTGGAGGCGAAAACCCACACTGCCAATTGTTTTGCAGCAAAGGAGGAAAAGAGAGCTGGGGTCTTAGAGTTTAATTTGAACAATTTCACTTAATCCTTCCTGTTTTCAGCAGAATACCCTTACCCACAAATGTGCCTTGTCTCTGCCAATTCAGAATGCTGCTAATTCATCCTCTCCAGAGACCAAACCTCCAGTTTTTTGCAAGGGTTGGGGAGGAAGAGTGGCTTGGCTGCACAGAGATTGGTGGTGGACAGAATCTGTCATCTAACTGCTTCTCAGAGATTTTTCAACCAACTCTTCTTCACTCGCACTTCCCAGGGTTCCTGGTGCTCAATTTCCTGAGCCGTTGGCAACTCAGTGTATCAACTGGGGTGGTACTCAGCTTTCCCCGCTCACTAATCAGAATTCAGGATTCTCAACCCTGATAACACATTTGCCATTCTTCCCTCTGCTCTCTAGTTTCCAAACTTGTGTGTGTTTGTCTTTAATCCCAAAGGGAATAAAAGACACATCCATGTGCACAACTGTTTCCCTAGAGGACTTACCTCTTTTTTCCCCCTCATTGCTGCGGATAGTAGATGAGCAGTATTTTTTAATGAGATTGGTTTGATTTTCCTCAAAACACTAACACATGCAGTTTCAATAAGGATGTGTGTATGAGAGCAATTTTCCTATTAATGGTGAAGATTAAGTTTTAAAATTCTCATAGTTAACTATAGTGATTATACTCCAAATATATTCATCATCCTGTAATACTTCCCTTCCTTTTTTCCCCCTTCTTCATGGTCACACTTAGTGTGGTCTTGATCAAGCCTCCCTGGGCCTGGGCATTTAATATGGGACCCATTGGCCAGATAGGGACCTCCCTAGCTGGAAGCGGCAGCCTAAGTGAGATATTTAGGATGGAATTGCTACCCCTGGTGGTAGAGCTGGGAGGGCCCCCACTCTGCAGGCTCCTTCAGTGTTGCGTTGCCAAGTGTAGGCTAGTCAGGAATTGTAAGTGGAGTTGCATCTATGTAATTATGCTGTACTATATTTTATGTAAAATTAAATCATTTAAGCTTAATTTTAATAATGATATTATGAAGCTGGATCATTTTGCAAATTACTGGTATATAAATATCTAATATTTATAAATCAAATGAGGAACTTCTAGATTCTTAGATTGGATTTGTGAACCCCTTGTAATTGTAATAAAAATGTATATGTGTATCCACATGAGAATTTTACCACAGAAAATTTCACCTGAATCTAGTCAAGACTTTAGAGGTAGCACACCCAGTAAATGGGAAATTCAGAGAGGAGGAGGCAAGTTAAACCATGACAAGGAAGCAAGCAGACAGATCCAGAATGTGGGACATTCTCTAGGATGACTGATCTGGTGTATACAGCATCTCAACAACATGAGGGAAACAACAGCCACAAAGAAAAACCCTGGATAGGGGGAGGAAAAGCAGGTGAATCTAGATTTAGGAGATATAACGTACAGATATGATGTGAGGGCTTCATTGGGTCCTGATTCCAATAAACCAACTGTGAGAAGACATTTTTGAGACAAAAGAGAAAACCTGAATTTGGACTGGACGTTAGTTGATACCAAGAAATTATTGATAATTATGTGACACATGATAATGGCTTTATGATTATATAGACTGGAGTATGCTATTTTATTTCTAGTATTTACTTTAAAATACTTGAGCCAAACAGTTTTGAAAAGAGAAAGTTTGAGGTCTGTTATTTTTTCTCTACTCTTGTACATATTTGAAATTTTTTATAATGAAAATTTTTTTAACTCATTCAAATGTGTAAAGGAAATATATCAAAATATTAGTATTTTCAAAATTACAAGTGATTCTTTGTTTACATGAGTCAAGAAAATTAAGAAATAATATTTTTTTGAAAAACATGCCATACGAGAGGTAAATGTTACTGTATAAATGAAAGTTAGGAAGAACCAAATCATCTGAGGTACAGCCATATATTGGGTGGAAGTTGAGGGAGGGGAATGTGTCTCAACAAGAAGAAAAGAGGAATTTGATGACAGTTGTCCTATTCAGCAGTTTTCCAAGGGTGCTTTTATATATTTATTTATTTATTTATTTATTTTTTATTGATGTCTTAATAGTTTATAACATTGTGAGATTCCAGTTGTACATTATTATTTGTCAGTCACATATAAATGTGCCCCTTCACCCCTTGTGCCAAGGGCCCTTTTTAAAGAGGTTACATATAGGTACATACATTTGCTGGTGAATTTGAGTAAGTGCGTGAACTTGCTGTGTGTTAATACTAAAGAAAGCTTTTTTCTTTAGATGAAGAGTCTTTGAGAATGATTGTTGGTCTTTTCCATGTTATACATTTCTTATTCACTCTTCTCCACACAGAGCATTCTTAAATCTTTTAAGATTTTTTAGATTCCAGTGAATTTCATGGAATAGTTGAAAACTAGCAATACCTTTTAAATACCACACATCTTTTATTCACAACAGTTTTGCTCCAGATTAAGTTTTTCTTCAAGGCAGTTTGATATGTACTCTTTGCAGTGCTATGAAGGAAAGCCCTCCAGAGATATCCTGAAGAGAGTTGCTGCGAGTGCACTGATGTCTCTTCTGGCCGTCAGCAGAAGAGCACAGAAACACGCCTTGAAAGGTGAGCTGCAGGGCACCTCAGCTGTTTCCATGGCATGTTTTCAATTCATATGTTTTACTGCTTGTTCTTTTTAATTTTCTTTGGACTCAAAATGTAAAGAACTTGGAATCTCAGTGTCACTAAAAAAATAGAGTTTTTTTTTCCTGTATAGAAACATAGTAAACATGCATTACTTTTAAAACAAAAAGATTATAGTGTAGATTCTTTTTTATGTAATGATTCTTATTCTAGAGACTCTACATCTAAATATTAGAGAAGCTTTACAAAGCAACACATCACTCAGTTTAATAATCATTAAATATTAGTAGCCACAAATGCATATTGCATACCTGAGTGAAACACATAGTTTTGATAGTAGTAATAACAGCATTTAGCTAATTCTATATTTTCACATACATTTCCCCTCTAGAGTGTTGTAGTTTCTCATCTGGAATCAGGGAACACAGGTTTTAGAATTGAAAGAGAATAACAGCAACATGAAGTCCATTAATTTAAATTGTGATTTGCTACTAAAATTATGCATACCTCAAAATGTAAATTAGATTTTGGGAGTATTGTACTAGGTTGAAAACAAATGGGCTTTAGCATTTTAGTTCTCTTGATTTGTCCCTCTGATTCATTAATCTCTCACTGAAAATACTAAAAATAAGTTGGTTGGAAATATAAAATTATTTTTTTGAGAATTTGATTAGTTATGCGTGGTTTTAACTTATTGGAAATGGAATATGCTTTTCATTGTTCTGGATTCTGTCTTCCAGCCGATCTGATAGACACCTGCGTGGAGCAGATGAAGCACGTTAACGCACAGCTGAACCTGGACACGCTGAGGCCCGGGAAGGCGGCTCTGAAGAGAAAGGTAGCTGGGAGTCTCCACATTCTGGGATGAAGGGTGGCCATACATGGAGACCACCTCTCCAGTGTCCTTGTGCTTATCAGTGACACCTATTGGGTTGAAATGAGGATCTGATTTAGAGGCAAGGTACCGTCAGATAAATTAATGGGATTTCTACATTAACAGGTTTGGGTTTGGGAGTTTTGTGTGTGTATGTCTTAGTTCTCAATTGAAAATCTTTAAATGAGATTTATATTTTATATGTTGTTATAAACATTTTGGTGTGTGCATGATAAATTTTTTATACTACAGAAAAAAATCATTCTCTCAAAGTAAGCGTAGGTTCACTAGGAGTGGCATATAAGTGTTTTCTATATGCCAGACACTATTCTAAACATTTCATGTTTATTATCTCATGCACACTCATGACAACATAGTCATACGAGCAGTAATTGATAAAGCCAGTATTTGCCCCATGTCTGGATGGTTGCAGAGCTGGTATTCCTAATCTCTGTTTATGTCCTTCCATGACTTCTGAGAGTCTTTTTCTAGCATTGAGTCTGCTGGACTTGTGTTCAAACTGCATGTTCATGTAAACTCGAAATAACACAGTTTTTATGTAATAGCGTTGGTTAATAATAATGACTATGGTTAAAAAGATCTGCCACACATGCTTATTGAGAAGAGGAATGTGTGTGTGTATTTATAAATATATAAATATACATATATATGTATATAGCTAAGGCCATTATAGCAGCGATCTATTTAAAAACTAGTTTCTAGTGCACTTGATAAGAAACCAAGAAAAGCCGTATTTTGTAATTTCATTGATGCAGGGGGTCACATGTTCGTCAGTTTCTTTTCTTGCCTCTTTCCCTTTTTCCTCTCTAGGCACAGGCCCTTACTTCATCATTGAGAAAGTCAGCCAACACCTGAATTGATTGAAACCCGTTCAGTACCTGCTTCTTTTTATTGAGATGAAACGTGGAGCCTATTCTATATTTCATTTCTTCCATGCTTGGTAGAACAGAAATAGCTTTTCCGTGGTGGATGTGCTGCTTGAGATCTGGGCATCTTTCAGAGATCATTAGCTTGTCAGTCCCTGAGAGTTATGGTGGTCAGGCCCGGGGAGGGCGTGGCCGCACTGTGATGTGACCCTGAGGAGAAGGAATTGCTGTATAAAAGGTGGAATATGTCCTTGTGTTCACATTTGTCAACTCCTTTTTGTTTAAACAGGAGGATGGCTTTGTTAAAGAGTTAAGCATTGCCATGCAGCTCCTAAGAAACTGTCTTTATCAAAATGAAGAATGTAAAGTAAGTAGACCTACTTTTCACAATTTTGATAGCAGTGCTGGCCATTAGCAGTTTAATTTTTATGTGAGATCATATAGGATGGAAAATGGAAAACTCTGAATGTTTTTGAGATGCCCAATTGATTGGTCCTTAAACCTAGTGTTAATTCTCAGAAATGGATGCACCTAATCTTGATGTTATTCTTCAACACTGATGACATTTCTTGTTTATGTCAGCATTTTAACCTTTAACTTTATTACTGAAACTTTGACTTCAGGCAGCTAAAGCAAACTTGAGCCTCTTTCCATACTGTTAGGCATTTCAGTTGTTTTTTTACTAAGATGGAATGAAATGGCTGTGTACATCTTATAAGGCAGGAGGGTTTTTTTTGTTTTTTTTTCTTTTGTGAGGAGATCAGCCCTGTGCTAACATCTGCCAATCCTCCTCTTTTTTTGCTGAGGAAGATCTGCCCTGGGCTAACATCCATGCCCATCTTCCTCCACTTTATATGGGACACCGCCACAGTATGGCTTACCAAGTGGTGCTTAGGTGCACGCCCAGGATCCGAACCAGCGAACCCCGGGCCACCGCAGCGGAGTGCACGCCCTTAACCGCTTGTGCCACCGGGCCGGCCCCAAGGCAGGAGTTTTTCAAAGGCACTTGTCAGACACTCTTCAAGGGAATACATGGAGGTGTCTGTATCCATAAGACGAGTGTGTCTTCTGCTTCAGAGTAGAAAATGCTTACTGCTGTTGTCGAGCGTGGCCATGTCCACCTTTCGGAGGGTCTTCACTTCCAGCTGTGCTGGCTCCCTGTGCCGTTGACTCAGCCCGTTTCTCTGGGAACCACTGAGATATTTTGCTTTGTCTGTGAGCATTGACACTGTCATTTAAAACACTGCATTAGTTCTGTTACATGGGATATAATGTCTTGAACACTTTGATTTTCTTTGTGATATAACACTTTTGAAGCACTAGCTTTCACACACAAGTACTATGGAAAACAAGTAAAACAGAGATAAATTATAGAAGCTTCCCTTTTAAAAAAATTTCTTCTTGCTTTTACTCATGATAAAACTGGAAAAAGCATACTGTATCTGGAAAGTGAACATCTTCAACACATATTCCTTAAACTGTGTTACGTAATTTGTTCAAGACACATTATTAACAATTTATGTTTCAAAACAATTTGATGGGAATTAAGTATTTGTACATTTCATTAAAATTCCCAGTGTAGGAACTTTTTACTCAAAATAGAAGTGTCATTTACTAAATTTCTGATCCCTTATGCTAAATGGTATCCTTGTGACTGGTTGCAGTTAATATTCACCCATGACACCTTACTCAGGGAATACTCTGGAACACTTTCCAGGTGGGATCTATATAGATTTACCTATATAGATTTATGAAAGGCTAGCCGGGTACTGGTTATAAATATAGTGTTCACATTGGTAAAACTTGAGCCATCTATAAAAGTGTTATCTCTCAATAAGTCAAAGCATGTCTACATTTCCAAGTTGTTTAATAAAAAATAAATCCAAAGAAGAATATTTAGATTACTTTTGAGTATAAATATAGTCCTATGGGGCAAAGATTCTTAATTTCTTTTCGTGTTCCAACTTAGCTGAGGTGTGTGACATACTCCCATTACTAATTGTTGGTTGCTCTTGTAGTAATTCACTGAGTCACTCACACCCACCCCAGTGTCTGTGTAGGTGTGACGTTAAGGAGTTTTCATACTGGGAAGATCAGGGTGGCTGTGAGGTAAATGAATTGAAGGGTGGGCAAGGTTAGAGGTAGGGGACTGTGGTAACAAGAGATGATGAGACCGTAACCCGAGCAGGTAGAAAGGGAAAGGGGAGTGGGGAGTAAATTTGAGGTATTGAGGAGAGAGAAGAGATATGTAGAATGATTTCCAGGCTCTAGTTTAATGCAAGAGTGCGTTAGAGCCAAGTGTAGGGACGAGAGATCCTAATGTTCGGGTTTGCACATGTTAGTATAAAGCGTCTTTGGGACATCTGGGGGGAAAATGGCTGGTAATCAGTAGATTCCGTGGGTCTGGGGCTCTGAGGGGTGATAAAGGCTGGGGATGTTAGGAGTTATCAGTGTGGTGATCATGTAGATGGTGATTGTAGCCATGACTATTGGTGAAATTTTCTAAGACAGTATACAGTGAGAGCCTATGTCATATCCTTGGAAAATATAACTATTTATATTCAAGAAGGCAGAAAACAACTGAGAAGAGAATGCTGGAGAGAGTTTGGAGATGATCCAGGATAGAGGGGCTGTATGGAAATGAAGAAAAAAGAGACCTTTAATAGCTGCCTCTGTGCTGGAGGTTTGACAGCAACAAAAATAGGAGTGGTCTTACTAGCATCCTCAGGATAGAAGATAAATGGAAGTAAGCTGAAGATTAAATAAGAGATAGGAAATGACAGCAATAAGAGTACTCTTCTTAGAAACTTGATCATGAAAAACAGCATTAATGATTTAGGACATACAGCATTAAAGGAAGTTAGTCTGCATGTTTGTCTCTCCTAGCGTGTAAACTGCTTGAATATAAAGAGAAATGACCAATTCGGGGACTAATTATTAAAGAGACAGGAAGAAAAGAACTGATTGATGGATAAAGATCCCGATAAAGATCCCTGAGGCAGGCGGGGCTGTGTTCCAAAACACGTGTGGAGTGTCCGTCTCCGACAGATGAGGAACATGTGCTCCTCACTGCCAGGCAGGGAGGAGGAATGGATGGAAACACAGCTAGCCTATGTGGACAGAAGGGCAGAGGAGAGAAGGAGCTTCTACCCAATCGTTTCTGCCTTCTCTGAAACGGTGAGCAAGGTCACCTGATGCAAATGCAGGGCTGTGTTCCAGGCTTATGCAGAGTAGGCAGCGTGGGGAGTAACTTGGAAATAACGCTGGGAATGACTGCAAAGCTGATGGAGGTTGTTGACCGTTGGGAATAACTTCCCACTCTCTTCTGCCATTGATGCTGCATAAAATTGTGTAGGGTGTGTGTGTTTATATGAATGCTCACATGTCTGCACATGGGTCTACAAATTGCCTAGTAATTCCTGTTCATTTAAAAAATTGCTGCATTTGCTGCAAACAGTTGTATTTTATCCATTAATATTGTCCCAGCAATAACTGATCTTTATAATAAAGACGGAGTTACTTAAGAATTTATTGATTTAACATAATATTTTGACTGAATTTTACTATATTCAAATTATTTAAAAACAGTAATCTACTTCTGATCTGTCTGTCTGTCCACGCGTACCGGATATGTATACACACATATACACACAGAGGGAGAGAGAGGGCAGAGGGGAGAACTCCGAGTTGATCAGAATGTTTACCTAGCCAGAAAATCCCATTTCTTAACCATATCAGAGCATTTACAAGAGTTTATTCAGTGTTGTGAGATATCTGTTAATTTGCATGTTCAGAAGCTGGTTTTCTGCATTTCTTACCTGAGCTGCGTGTCCTGGCCGCCCCTCTGTTGAAGGAACTCCTGAGGCTGGTTGGGCTGGTGGTTAGGGCTGTCCTGGGGCGAGGTGCTGGATTCGGTGGCCAGCTCGCACTAATCCGAGCAAAGATAAATGCAGTTTTTGTCTCCTTATGTTGGTGACATTTTTTTTGGATTTGATTTTAATTTTACGTTTTCATATATTCAGACTAATGCTGTCTTTACTTCCTTTCCACAACAGGAAGCAGCTCTTGAAGCTCATCTTGTCCCTGTCTTGCACTCTCTCTGGCCTTGGCTTCTGATGGACGATTCGTTGATGCAAATTGCCCTGCAGCTACTTTGTGTCTATACTGCAAATTTCCCAAATGGTAAATAGAACCCGATACTGCCTTTCAGTAAATATACTAGCATGCTAATTTTGCATAATGTAGTTAAAGTGGACTAGGAAAACCAATACGTATTTTGAAGTGTTTCTCCTACTTATTGAGGGTATGTTGGTTAAAGGCATGCTTTCTTGTAGGTATTATAAGAACAGACAAGATATTTTAGTATGTCTGTTAAGATACAAGGAGTCATTAGACGGCTCAAGGAATAGAGAGGGGGAAACTGGCTGGATTATATGGCAGTGGGAAATTGAATTTAATACGAAAACTGAGAGTGAAAATTAAGATGTAAGACCTTAAAAACCAGGTAAAGGTTAAAACTATAGATTCTAAAGCAGGAGACTGGCGTGATGACAGTGAATTCTAGATACAGTTGTTCTGGGAAGAGTCAGTGTCATTGGAGCGCCTCTCGTTCATTCATGTCACAGACATTTTATTGAGCGCCTGCTGTGGGCCGTGCGTCATTAGTGGCCAGCAACTCAGAGTGAGCAAAGACAAGGGTAGAGCTGACGTGAGGAGAAGATGTGAAATCGCTGTTTGAGCCGAGAGAAAGCAAGCCTGCTAGGGAAGTGAAGTAGGATTGCTGGCAGTATTAATTTCCCATTTGAAACTTTGGTCATAAATTTAAGGTTTAACCAGTCAGCAAGTCGGTGTGCTTCCTTCTGGCAACATTCAGCAGCTCAGCAACTGGGTCCTCCAAATATCAAAAGATATACAGAGAAAGGACTGGAACTTAAAAACTTCAGAGCCACGTAGTCACCGCCACGTGCTGGGGATAACTTACTCCTTGATAGTCCAGCGCCAGCCTCCACCTCCACTCTGGAGCCGTCGGTCTCTGTAGCCCACTCAGCTTGTCTCTGGCTTATGACGTAAACAGACTTTCAAGCTCTGGACCCCTTAACTTTCATTGTGGTGTGTGGAGTACACCACGATGCAGGATTGTCCTTGTTTTCATTCTGCTGCTGCTAACTTTCTTGTCCTCAGTTCTGCTCGGACAGTCTCCTCTCGCCATGTCTTCTAGCTCTTACAGCGTGACCAGTGCAGGGTCGCTGTCTCTCAAGTGTTGCCTCTGCACATTGTCCTTCTTTACCCTACCCTTCACTTCGAAACTTAGGGTTTAGGGAAGTAAGGAGGAAAAAAGAATCAGTGGATGAATATTGAGCAAAAGAAACTAGATCTACTGTAATATAAATCTTTTGAAACTATAATTGATATTACTTTTATACTTAAAATTGATATAAATATTAGAATGTGGTTAGGTTACTAAATTGAGAAACTTTTTATTTTCCCGTCTGGTTTGTTTCCAAGCAAAACTGCATCATTTAGTGACAGTTTTGTGTAACAGCTAATGGAAACCTTGGTATTTGGATACTGCTATATAATGTGAATACAGGAAAGATCACTATATTTATTTGTGTTTACTTGCCTTTCGTGAGTTTGTTTTACAGCATGCATTTGATTCTGATCTAGTTATACTTAAGCTGGACTCCTTGTATGGATTTTCATGATTAATTACACCTTTGGTTTATGTTAACAATACAGTAAAAAGTATTTTTAATTCTTTTATGATTATTTTTCTCCCTTGATAAACTCCATATGGTTGTTAATTTACTGAGAAAACACTGGACTCTGGAAAATCAGTTGACAACACTGCTGGCTCTTGCTACTTATGAGCTGTGTGACCTTGAGCAAGTCACTGACTTTTCTGAGCTCTGTACCTTCATCTAGCATATATGGCTGGTAGCATTTGTCCTGTCCCTCCACCCCAAGATTATTGTGTTCCTCATTTTTTGTTTTTCTTGTGTAAAATGAAGGCATTAGACAAAATTACCTCCTATTTCTAAAATTCTGTTCTTCTACACAGGACTTTATTTAGATGTCTTCTTTAGGAACTATTAAAAACCCTATTATGCTTATTTTATTCTTTTTAAAAAAATAAACCTAGTGTTTTTAAATGCTCTGTTGAGATCATTAGGCCCTTAATGAAGACAGTGAATGCATTAGGTTGAATGTAGACATCAACACTAGCCTTCAGTGCTGATTTGCAGTTCACAGGTTAATGGCCAAGACATTTGATAGACAGATATGCGTTACCAAACATCGAAACTGAGAAGACATTATAATAGGCTGTTGTTTTTTAAGGTTGCAGTTCTCTTTGTTGGTCAAGTTATGGACAGTATCCTGTTCAAGCTGCATATAGAGGAGCCCCCGGCAGCTCTCTGATGCTCTGTATCCTGAAGTTGGCTTCCCAGATGCCTCTCGAGAACACCGCAGTTCAGCAGATGGTCTTTCTCTTTCTTTCAAACCTGGCCTTGTCACATGACTGTAAAGGAGTAATTCAGAAAGTGAGTACTTACACTCTCCTTCATGTCATAAAAAAGATACTCAGTCAAATAATCCTTCTAATCAAGGACATGTGTGAAAAGTCTAGAACTCAATTTCTAGGATTAATTTATTATGATTTCAACACATCTTATTTTACAGGATTGTAAAAGGATTAAGAGGTTTGCTTTGTTTAAAGCCAGTTGATATATGATACATGAAAAGTGACAGAAGCTAGAATATGATGATACATTTCCTTTTAGTTTATCTTCTTAGCTTTTGGATTATATTTTCTCTGTCTCAAAAATGAAGGTTTTAGAGAGACAGCAGTCTCACATTTATTTGAGATCATAAAAGTAATATATGGATCTTTAAACAGACCAAATTGAGCTATAAGAATTTGAGTTCAATTTACATTGTCAAAATGGTTTATGAAATCACACCCTCCTTTTGCCAAGTTAGACCTCACTGCTTTATGACGTAATTGGTGATTTTATCAGTCCTCTGGGGCTCCAGTGCCGAAGCTAGACTTGTTATCACTGATGTTAACTTAGGGGACTTTAAAAGGAGTCGAGTGATTTCAACAATTCTAGTACACATGTTCAGTGACTATATTTAGATGTGTATAAACAGAATCCCTAATTTGAAAGGTCCCTTAAAATTTGAATATGATCAGATTATCTATTACTTAGTAGTACATAGTAATTTGAGTGCTTCTGTGTGTTTTACATGAAGGCCAAGATAAATTGCAGAAGTTGACAGTATTTGTAAAAATTGTTTCCTTTTCCTTTCCTGTGTCATCTTCTCAAACGCCTGCAAAAAAACGCTTTGAGTGCAATCTCCAAATAAATAGCTGTCTTACTAAGGAAAGATCTTTTCAGTGGTGTGTTGGAGCTGACTCACGTTGGTTCATGAGTGTCATTGTTAATTTTCATGAGTTTCGCAAACTGGATGACATCACTGTGGTATCTTGGAATCAGCCACAGTGGGAGTAGTCACACCTTGTAAATTGGCAAAAGGTGCAAATCAGGGATCCACTGCTGTCACTGGAGCCAGCTGTTTATTTACCAGCACATGCATATATTTTCTTCATATATGTGTGTGTATGTGTGTATGTATATATACATACACACACAGATATTAAGTCCTCCTGAACTGGATATATGTGATGACCATCCTTCCCATACGTGAGAGCATAGACCAGAGGGGCAGTGCTTTCTGCCGCTTTCTTATAGAGCACAGTGGGCGAAAACAACGTAGGAACTCCCAAAAGGAATGTAAGTGCTAATCTTGAGTCTGGTATGTGACTTTGAGCTGGGGACTTATTCTCTTTAAGCTTCTTTTAAAGTTTCTTCATTTTTAAAATTATTAGGTTAAACAAAATGATCTCTAAGATCTTCAACGCTCAACCTGTGACTCTGGTACTGTACTTAAGCATATTTTGAAGCAAGTGTGATCAGACTCTATTTTAGGTGCAGATCAATCAAGTTGTTTTTCCTCTGTTTTAATTAGGAAACCCCTGAGCCTTCCGCTGCTGCATTAAGTTATAATGAGCCACGGACACTTGCAGTTACACCTCTTCATCTATAGGCATTAGAAAATGTAGCTAACACTACTGTACAACTGAGATTCTAAATGTTCAGTTTCTCTCTACCGTGGCATGTTTCTCTACATTCTACCTAGTGTAGGAAATTGTCTCAAAGCATCTTTAGGCCCAGCAAAAAGAAGGAACACCCACAGCACACTTACAATTTAAAGCACTGCTATATGTTTTATCACTCTTGTCTACCCCAAATCTCCAATATCATGGCAAAGTCTAGCTAATTGGGAAAGGCAAGGGATGAATCTAAAAAGCATTAATTTGGGCTGAGAGATGAGAAGTAGGTATGAGTGATGGCAAATGCAGTGCAAAGTGGGTGTGTCGTTTTACAGTTTACCTGTTGCTTGGATAATGTTGCTGGTATTTCTGTAGTTCATTTCGTTCTTATACTCAGAGTCCTTTTACATTAAAGTGTTAAATTTATTTTATAGATTCAAGCCAACATCTTGATTTAGATCCAGGAGAACTGAAGTAATAAGCCAGAGTAGATTATTAAACAGAGAGAGAGATGAGATATTCTGGGCAGTTATGAAAGTTAAGTGATAACATTTCTGCACCCTGGTCAAAATGTCCAGATGACTGTGGTTCCCGTGCTGTCCTGGGCTGCTTCTTGATATAGGACTTTTATACTGTCTGTCTTTCTTTGCATATAGATTATTCTAGACAATAAGTTATCTTTCACTTAATTAAGGGTTTGGTGGGGTTTTGTGGAAGGGGTTTTTTTTGGAGATTGAAGTAACTCTTACAGTTCAAGTAATAAACCTTTCTCATCTGTAGGTTTATTAGAATGACATGTAGCCATGACAGATCATCTGTAATGATAAGCAGCTAGGGCAAAATGAATGTAAGATGTACACACAGATTTTTTTAACACGCTTGCAGCTATAGAGATTCATATATCCTCTGTACTACCGGAGTTGTTAACTGCTATCCAAGACAGATTTGGTTTTCTTTTTTCCTCCCCATAGGATAGCTTTTAATGAGTAGTAAAGTTGCCAGAAGGCAGACGGAAAGAGAAAACTCAAAAGGCCTGAAAAAAATCCCAAACTGAATTGTCAATCCTAAATAATTAAGAGTTGACTATAGTTTTCTTTATCCATCATCAGGAAAGAATTAGTAAGAATTAAAATTTGAGCACTGTTTTGTTCTCCTTGACTTTTTCACTTATACCTGGAAACAATATAGATGGAGTATTTGGAAGGTATCAGGAGGAAGGAGAAATTAAGGTTGGGGAAACGAAGAGCAGAATGCTAGTTAATTGGTCTCCAAGGGACTAGGAAAATAATGAAGAGGCTCAAGAAGAAAATAATATTCTCTCTATTTACCCACAGAGTAACTTCTTACAGAACTTTCTATCTCTAACATTGCCAAAAGGAGGAAATAAACATCTCAGTAATCTGACCATTCTTTGGTTGAAGTTACTCCTGAATATATCATTTGGAGAAGATGGGCAACAAATGATCCTGAGGCTTGATGGCTGTCTAGACTTACTTACAGAGATGAGCAAATACAAGCATAAGAGCAGCCCTTATATACCACTTCTTATTTTTCATAATATTTGCTTCAGTCCTGCCAATAAGCCCAAGATCCTGGCTAATGGTGAGTATTCACATTATATACCACACACACATACACATGCATCCATTTCTACATATGGTTATTCATAGAGCATTCCATTCAGATTAAAGCACAAAATAATTTTATAAATAATTTGCCAGGTATTTATTGAGCACCCACCATGTTCAAAGCACTGTGGGAGGCAGGGTCTGTGGGATTGAATCAGGCATGACTCCTGTCCTGAGAGACAAATCAGCCATGGCTCCAGTCCTCAGGGAACTGCCCAGAGTCTCCTGGGGTCAAGTCAGTCACTGATGGCCACAGTGGATCCAGGAGATAGCAAGGAGGAGGAGGAGCGTGGGCATGGATGCTCTCTGGCCATGCCTCTACTCTTCCCATCTCTCCTCGCTCATCCTCTAACTCCCCTCCCTCCTCTAGTCTTTGAGCAAATGCTGCCCTGTCGGTGAAGGTGAAGCCTTTCCAGACCAGCCTATCAAAGTTGTAATCCCCACACCCTTCTTCCTGCCTCCTCTCCCCTCCCGCTCACTCTGTCTCCTTTCCCTGTTTTATCTTTCTCTGTAACATTACTACCAGCTGATATGCTGTATACTTCCAGTATATATCTGTTTATTCCTAGTCTTCCCACACTAGAACAGAGGCTCTTACAAGGTCGAGAGGTTTTTGTCTCTTCTCTTGATGTTTATCTATAGCACCTAGAATTGTGCCTGTCACTGGTGAGCACTCAGTGACTATTTGGTGATTGAGAGCCTGAGTAGGCAGGAGAGTTCAGGACCCAAGACCAAACGGTGAAATTAGCCTTACAGAGACTTCATTCTGAGATATAGGACAGATGGAGGTGACAATTGGTGAGGATTCAGAAAAATTTTGAAACAGAAAGAGAGAAATGGCAAGATCTGTTTCTGCAACCATGTGCTGTTTCTGTGAGGAGTGTGTGAATTTCATAGGGAGAGAGTTTTATAAGGAGACATTGTGTTATCATGAAATAAAAAAAGAGGTGGGCCTTAGACGCCCACACACCTGGTGTTGGATGCCAACCCCTTATGTACTCATTCCAACATCACCTCAGGCAGCTTCTCTGGGAGCAGTTACTTCATCTAATAAAATAATCCCTCCTTTCTTGGTTTTTGGTAGAAATTAGTTTATAAACAGACCTAAAGTACCTAGCAAGCACTGTTTATGGTACATGGTAAATGCTCAAGATATATTAGTTCTCTGTTCCTTTCATGTTTTCACTTAATCTTTTCTTAGAAGTGTTTTTCTATGAAACATGGAGTTTTCCAAATGAATGGAAATGATTCTAGTTACATTCTGCTTTGTGTGTGGTCATAATTCTGTTTTTCTGATAATAATTGAACTGCTAGAAATGAAATAATTTTAGAAGTTCAGCCAGCTTTTCACTTACCTAAATTTACTGTGGATCTGCACTCTGCCTTCCTAGAGTGCCTCCACTGACACTGTGCTGGCCGTCGTGGGGGTGGGCTTCTGTGGCTCTGTTCCATCCTTCTTCACCATCTCCGCTTCAGTCCTCACATTTGTGAAGTGAGAACGATAGGCCCGACCTCACGGGGCAGTGAGATAGTGTGTGTGAGGGATCTGTTCCCATGCTGGTGTCTCTTATTAGTTATTCACCTTTCTCAGAGGAAGTTTTTTCTTTGGGGACTACTGATCACAACTTTATTATTGAGAGAGTTAGAAAAAGGACAGGCTTTTCGGGAACCGAAGGAAAAGTCCACATTTTCCGCTCATGGATCTCTCTGGATTTATTTTTAGCATTTCCTTGTATCAGCAATGCTCCCTTTCCTTCATTAGCTGAAAGCAGATAGACAAACTTGTGGTAAGAAAGAGCTTCCCCAGCCCCACAGATATGAGAACGGTGTCTTCAGGGCAGGGATAGGAGGCGGCAGCTGTGCAGTTTCTGTGTGGACCTGTAAGGGCATGTCACAGGCGCTGCCTCCCATTTCCACTTGGGGATCCAGAGGGAGGGCTTGGCAGAGTCAGCTAGCTTAAACATCTACCAGGTAAGGCTACATGACTCTGATCAGTAGCACCCAAACATCTGGTCTAGAGGGTCAGGAATGGAGTGGGCAGTAGGGCTTGACCTTGCAGTTAAAAATAGATCCAGTGGCGGGCCGGCCCCATGGTGTAGCGGTTAAGTGCACACACTCCACTGCTGGCGGCCCGAGTTCGGATCCGGGCTCGCACCGATGCACTGCTTATCAGGCCATGCTGTGGCGGCGTCCCATGTAGAGTGGAGGAAGACTGGCACAGATACTAGCCCAGGGCCAGTCTTCCTCAGCCAAAAGAGGAGGGTTGGCATGGATGTTAGCTCAGGGCTGATCTTCCTCACAAAAAAAAAAAAAAAAATAGATCCAGTGGGGCCGGACCGGTGACACAGTGGTTAAGGTCACGTGCTTTGCTTTGGCAGCCCAGCCTTCGCAGGTTCGAATCCCAGGTGTGGACCCACATACCGCTCATCATGCCATGCTGTGGCAGTGTCCCACATACAAAATAGAGGATGATAGGCACAGTTGTTAGCTTAGGGCTAATCTTCCTCAGCAAAAAAGAGGAAGATTGGCAACAGATGTTAGCTCGGGACCAATCTTCCTCACCAAAGAAAAAGAAATAGATCCAGAGTACTCCTTGTTTCTGGTAATGTCAGGCTAGGTCTCCTCTGAAAAAAACAAAAACATGCTAGATAAAATATTAAAATTCTCCTTAAAAAAAAATCAAAGACCTGAAAAGATAGTGGGAAACTTTCACGCCAATTTTGATTGAAAGTTTGTGCCCAGAGAGGTAAGAAGTATATAGAAAGCTCTTTCGCCCCAAGGACATTTGCCAACATTACACGGATAGCTTTTGTTCAGGAGTGCCAAAGGGTCAGGAAACAGAAGTCAAGACTCTCCAAGATGGGGATGTTATGGGCCATCCTGCGTGTATTAAGCTAGAACTCCAAAGAACCAACCTCTTAGGAGAAGGATGAATCAGAATTAAATTGATCCCCCAACCCTCATCCAGGTGACTATGAAGAAAAGAAAAACAAGTGTGACAACGGCCACCACAGACTGCCCCTCACAGCTCTGCCCCCCAGACTCATAGGCTGGCCCATGACCATGGGGTGAGCTGGTCTTGGATTGACAGTGCCTCTGGCTGCTTAGCAGAAGCAAACTGCCACTCTGATGGATAGAGGACAAGTTCATACTAGGCCTCAGGGAGCCTCCACAAATAATTTTTCAAAAGCATTAACCAGTACACAGTTAAGGATGATCAAGCACATGAGGAAACATGGCTACATGAATAGAACCAACGGGGCAAAAATACCAACTTAGCTGCCTGGACTTCAGTATTAGAATTATAAAACACAGATTTAAAAACAAATTTATGTCATATTTAAATAAATGACAAGCTCTAAAATATTTGCAGAGAATAGGAAACTAAAAAATGGAAAGATTTGAAACAAGAACCAAATAGAAATTCTAGAACTTTGCTGTCCAATATGATAATCATTAACCATGTGTAGCTATTTAAATTTAAGTTAATTAAAATATTCAGTTTGTCAGTTACATAAGCTACATGTGGCTACTGGCTGTCTTATTAAACAGCACATGTATAAATATTGCCATCATTGTAGGAAGTTCTATTGGACAGCACTATTCTAGAACTTGAGTAGCCAAAATTAAAAACTCATTATACATTCTGGCAGCAAGTTAGGTGTGGCAGAGGAGAGAATTTAGGAATTAGAAGATAGATCAGAAAACTAACATCCAGAATGTAGCACAGAGAGCTAAAAAGATGAGAAAGGATTAAAAGAATAAAGAGTAAGTGACAAAGCAGATACATTGAGACAGTCTAACTGCATCTTTAATTGAGGTCCTCAAAGGAGAGGAGAAGAGAGAGGAAATATTTGAAGAGATGATGGCTGAAAATTTTAAGTACTGTTTTAAGACACTAATCGACAGATTCAGAAGACTGAGATAATTCCAAGCAAATAAATAAAAATAAACCCACTCCTAGACACATTATAGTGAATCTATAGAAAACTAAAGAAAAAAAGATGAAATGGACACTTGTGCTGACAAAAATAACTTAGAAAAATGTATTCAAGAAAAAAATTAAAAACCAAAAAGTCTAATAGCTATGAAAGACATTGTGTTAGTCAGAAATCTAACTACATAGAAAACCCTAGATCCAGATGGCTTCACCAGTGAGTTCCACCAAACATTTAAGCAACAAGTAATTCCAAAGAGACTGAACTCTTCCAGAGAGGACAGAGGAAATAGTCGCTCATTTTGTGAAGCTAGCATAACTTTGTTAGCAAAACCTGACAAGAACACAGAGTGTTCTGGTAAATGTTTACCTGCTGGCTCTGAACAGAGGAGTAGGATATATATTGAATATATAGAAATTTTATTATATATAAATATATAAATTTTACTGGTATAAAGAGTGTATAGCACACACCTTATAGATTATAGTACAATACACGATACTCTTTGTCTTGTCAATTCTGTGTGGCCAGTGGATATTCAAAAACACTTGCATTGACTTTTGCTAAACTCTTGTGTCTGTAGGCAGTCTATGGTTGCAGTTCAGTCACGATTTGACAAACAGAATTGCATCACAGTCTGCTCTTTTTCCAATAAATTTATTGTCATTAAATCTGATATGTAAAATACTGTTAAAACTGTTTCTCACCCATATGCAAAATATATTCATAAAACTGAAACCCCTTTCAGCTTTACCACTGATTCAACCCTGACTGGCATTTGTTGATATTCATGGTATAAGTACACTCACTATAGCTGATTTCAAGCTGCCAACATGACATCCCTAAACTTAGAATTAAATCAATTATATTAAGAAGAAAGGTAATAAATATTCCAAACCTATCATTTCCTAATTATTTAACTACATTTTACTAGTATCTTTTCTCTTGAGGTTGTTTATACATGTATGTTGGAGTTCACTTCATACCTATTTGTTAAACTCAAAAATGTTTTATGTCCTTTTTTGTATACATGTCATATTTCACAGTAAAATGTGATCAAAAAAAAATCAATCCACGTGTATTATCATAGGGGACACTACATCAATTGACCTATAGATGTGCTTTATTAAAAATTTTTGAGAGAGAGTAACTGGTAGAAGGAGTTATTATAAACTTACTTAGATCCTGGCTTATATGTTCTGAGGGTTTGGTACAGTATATAAAAGCATCACTTGATGATACTCAGCTGGAACACATGGAAGTCACCCTCCTATTTGATGCTGTGTCCTGAGTACCAGCTGCCACCATCACCTCCCATGATGCATTTCATCACACAACTATTTATGTAAGATAATTACAGTAGTTATGATACAGGGAAAGCACGGGAACCATGGAATGCAGACGAGGTGGTGAGGCGGGAGGGGCAGTTGGCAGGAGCATTGCTGTGCCCACTCCCACCTTCCGCGCTGTCCTTCCCCTGCTCAGAGTTCACTTCATGGAGTAGCTTTTTTTTTCTGTGAAAGATTCTAAATTCCTTAAAATTTCTTTAAAAATTCTGAATAGAATCACCTAAACAGCACTTTTGTTTGCTTTAATTATGGAATCTTGCATTTAACTAGTATTTATTGAGCCCCTAAAATGAACTGGCTCCTTGACTGGAATGTACACCAGTGAGTGACCCAGACCCTGCCCTCAGCCTCACTCAGGGGTGCATCCAGTGGGTGGGGAGTAGTCACTGGATGTAGAGAGAGTCCCCAAAACAAGTGTTGCACCCTTGACAGTTTAATGATGTATAAAATAAGTAATAAAATAGATTCATATATTGTTCTGAAACATTCTGACAATTTCCTTGGGACTAGACTTTTATGCATCTTCACTTAAAATACCTAGGCTGCTGCAGATAATTTGTAAGTTTTGATTTCATACTCTGGCTAGCTTTGCAAAAAGGGGGCATCTTGTGTGGTGACATGCCTTTAAATCACTTTTTCCTCTGACACACACACACACATTCCTCTAAAATGTTTAGTCCTTTTTAAAAAGGCTTAACTAATATGGTATTTCTTGATTATTGTTTTATATATAATAGCCCATGCTATTGATATGTTTGTATAATAGTCTTTATAATTTATCATAAGAGGAAGTGTGTTTTCCTGCACACCAAAATCTGAGCTATAATTGAACAGCTCATTAATGTAACTCATTATGTAATTACTTTATTTCTGCACTGTTGTTGTCTTTAAATGAATGTGCCTTTGTTGAATTAGGGCCAAAAAAATTAGGCAGACTCAGCTTCCCTGACTGTTCTATGCCTGAAAACAATTTGTTTTGAGGTTGTCCTCCCACATACCACATGGTATAAAAGTTTGCTTTTGCCATAGTCTAGTGAAACCAACTTTGTATATATTCTGATGGAAAAAAGAGGGTATCTGACTAGTCCAAGGTAAGAATACAATGTAATGTCTGGGACTGACTTTTTTTTTTAATGTGTTTATTATTAGAAAAAGTCATTAGTGTGCTAGCTGCCTGTCTGGAAAGCGAGAATCAAAATGCTCAGAGGATTGGAGCAGCTGCGCTTTGGGCTCTGATTCACAATTATCAGAAGGTCAGTTTTTTACATCTTTGTCATACTTAGGGGCAAAAGCAAGCCTCTCAGGATGCGTCCAGGGCCGTCAGAGGAGTATCAGCAAGAAAGAAAAAGAAGTCAAAGACACGTGTTGCCTTGGTGCGTTTGCACAATTAGTAAACCATCACTTGAAATCTTTTTCATTTAATCATTTCAATGGGATGTCTCAGAACAGTGTCTCTCTTTTGAGTGAATTTTCCCTGTTAATATAAGTTAATTTGCCATATATGTGTAATGTTAGTATAGATTGTTTTTTTCTGGAAGAGATGTCGAGGAAAAATGCGTCTTGAAATGAAACCAAATAATGAAGTTTGATCCAACAGTGTGATACCCCTTTCTCTAGTATGTGCCGTTGTTGAGTTTTGACATAAGCTCTCTTGTCAGGCTGCAGCATAGGGCTGGCCTGAGGGAGCGGCGGGCAGGTAGGAACTTACACCTGCTCTTTCTCTGACCTCTGGTCTTCTTTCATTGCAGGCATCTCACTGCTGAGAGAAATACCCACATGTACTAGCAATTAAATAGTGGCCAAGTGACAGTGTTAGGAGGGACAGCCCTCCCCAAATGGTGCTCTCAACTGGCCGTCCCCGATCCATGCTCCTTGTTCTCCCCACTGGCGGCGTCAGCACACACGAGACAGAGGCTGCTGCTGTTGCCTTCACCCGTTAATCCCCAGGGCTTAGCACAGGATTCGGCACTGTGTAGTCACTCGATAGATATTTGTCGACTAGCTGACCAACAATGTTCCATATACTTGACCTGAAATCTGAGGTGTGAGGGAATATGAAATACTGAAATTAAGATTGAGCAGTTTAAATAGCAAATGGCGATGAGGGGAGAAGGGATGAAGGAAGGGAAGAAAGAGTGTGGGACAGCAGAGAAAGAAGTGAGATAGGGAGGGACGTGGGTGATGGCACCATGGCGTGTAGTAAAATAGAATTGTCTAGCTGCGTTATGTATTTTATAAATCCTGTTAACACTGCAGTCAGCAATGGCAGAATTAGGATTGTGTATTCTGACCTTTACCACGTGGGAATAAATCTAATTAATGGATTGTTCCGTGTTATCTCCAGGCAAAAACAACTTTGAAAAACCCATCCATAAAAAGAAGAGTGGATGAAGCATACTCCTTAGCAAGGAAAGGTAAGTTTCATCGTTAAAGAGATTGCAGTTAAACCTGGAAACTATTGAGTGAATAAAATGTTCTGCCAAATGAAGGGTTGAGATGTGATAGTTTCTTAATGTCTGTGATCTTTCTCCACGTCATTTTTTTCTTGTCCTAAAAGTCCTTTGCCAGTGGCTACCATGCTAAAGTGTGTTCTTAGGTGATAAGACCTGGGCCCAATTAGAGTTGACCTTGAACAGAAAACTTGGATCTAACATCAGGGAGTTGAATTACAGTCTTCCGAGAATAGATCCCTTTGCCCCTGTATCCGCTCGGCCCTGCGATGTGATCACGATATGAGGCAGGGTTTTCTTTTCAAAGCGCGTGTTTTGTTTTGAGTGACACCATTTTTCAATGAGCATTATTATCTGAACATTTTTTATGCTAGGACACTGAACTGTGTCTTTCCTGTACTGTACTAGGTCGGTGGTTATTAATTTGTGTTTTTGTAGTCTGATTTTTTGTCAGTGGTTTGTGGGTTTTTTGGTTTGTTTCTAGTTGTGACCATGAGTTTCGGGAGGTAGTGAATAATTGAGTTATGTTAGAGTTTATGTGTTAGGAGGAGTGTACATAAAAAGAGCAAGGCATTCATTTGGGATTATAAATAATGGTATCCAGTATGGATGTGTTGTTTTTTTGTTTATACTCTTTGGCTAATAAAAAATAAATATAAATTCTATAACTTCTTAATTTTTTTAAAATGTGAGATATTGCTACAATGCTATAGCAGTTAAATAGAACTTTAAGTTACTTATAAATCCTATTCATGTGTGTCTGTGTGTGTGTCTCCACTGTTAAGGGTAGTATTCAGTTTAATAATCTTACTCTTCCATACTCTTATTTTTCTATCTCAGCTTTCTCAAACTCAGAAGAAGCCCCTCTAAATGCCTATTATTTGAAATGTCTTGAAAACCTCGTGCAGCTTCTGAACTCTTCGTGAGCGCTGTGAGGTGCTCTGCCCTGAAGCTGACGTCCACCAGATAGGTGAGCCAAGCTTGAAGCAAGCTCTCTGTGCAGCACCTGCTGCCTGAAGACATGCTAAATCTCTACCAGGTGTGGATGCCCTTCCTTCCTAACAAGAAACGGAACTGGTGACGTCCCAGCTCTGTCCCTTCACACCAGCTCTCTACCATAAGAGCAGCGGACAAGGAGATGGCGGAGTAAAGACATAGAAAGTTCTGGGAACATACACATTTGTACATTTTCCTGTGCAATTTGTTTTAAAAAATCATATTTAACAGTTATTTAATAAAATAAAATATTTTTAGGAACTGAAAATTGACTAATAATTGCTACTGGCACTTTTGTCAGTCTCATGAATATAAATTTTAAGAATTGAAAGAAGACACTGTGTTCTGATTTCCTTTTCTTTTTGAAAAAAATTTTTGCATGAAATTTGGCTCTTGTCAATACAAATCCTTATTTTTCAAACCTTTATGTTATCCAGAACATACACATTGGTGAAGGGATAGATGTAAATGTGTATAATCTCGTGAGTAGCTTCTTTATGCAGTTTTTTATTGATACTAACTCCTTTCCATATGATTTGTAAATCTGTTATATTTTTTTATTTTCACCTTCTGAAATGCTGTGTAATAAAGAAGAAAGAAATAGAGTTTATGGTCATGTAGGCCTGGGTTCAAATTCCAGCTCAGCACAAAACATCATGAAGAAGAAGACTGGAAAGTCGAGCAGGAACAAGCTCTGTCAAGTGCTCCATGACAGAACTCTTAACTAACATGTAGTTTTGAACCCAGAACTTAAATCAAAATCAATTCAAGTGCTAATCAATTTCACCAGTTTTCCCAACACTTTTGAAAGTAAGAATAAAAAATGGTGTCTAAGAAAAGAAAAATAAAAGCTGAAATACATATCTGTATGCGTGTGTGTATACACACACGCATACAGATACATACATTCAGTATTTAGGAAAAAATTTTCTAATTGAATTATGGTTAATAGAAAAAAACATTTTTTATTAAGTGCTGTTACCAAATTACTATCATCAATAAAATAAGCTACATGATGTTATTTAAGCTGGAAGCATGAGGACAAAATATATGTTAAATACTGAAATAGAAGCAGATAAATTTGTAGGGTCTGAAAATTATTGATTAGAGATCTGGAAAATAGATTTAGGAAGTTCAGAAGTTTCCAGGCAGCCCAAGTTAATTTGAAGCAATGGACATATTAATATTCTGAAAAACTCACCAATTGTAAGGGCAGGAATCTTAGAAATTATTTCTACCTTTTCTCCTGGTTTCTTACATTCTATGCCATTTTCTTGGTATTACCGTGTAAGCCCTCACTGGTGAATAATGAGATGGATTTCTTTGTGTCTTCCATTTAAAGAGCTCTTTCTATGTCACAGGTGCTATTCTCAGAATGTTTATTATTTAATCTATCTTCCTCTGACATACTGCTGTTACCCCTGTGTTAGAGGTGACTAAATGGAGGCTCAGAGTGGCTAGGTAATTTCTGTGTGGCTGGTGAATAGTGGAGTTGAGATTGGAACCCAGGATAACTGCTAATAAGCCTGAGGGTTTTTTAACCTCTGTGCTGTGCTGCCACCTTTTTTCTTTTCCTCATTGAAATTCCTGTCTTTGTGTTTGGATCTTAGGGATACCCACCATTTTTCTACAAAAATTGGGTCTCTTCAGGGAAATGATCATTTCCTTTATGGTGCATTGATTGATGTCTTTGGAATCAGGAAGAATTGTAATTGATAATTTTTCCTAGCAGTTCAAGGTAGCACTCGAGGGGGATTTGTAACCCAGCGATGAGAACCACTCGGGGATGTTACCTGCTGAAGCCTAGAAGGAGCGCTGCCCCTGGAAAAAGGGAGAGAGGTGATGGCTTCAGGAAAACTTGCGCTTGCGTCTGTTGGTGCCCAGGGACACGAACCTCAGGGACATGTAGTGTTCCAGCGCTGGACAGCAGTCCTTCCTCTCTGTGTCTCTTCAGATTGTGTCCAGCCAACCAATGGGGAAGCTGTTTAAGCAGAAGGTCCCTGAGGTGACCGGGCTTCTATTTCCGAGCTGCCATGGCTCTACCTTGGAGACCCACCAGCATCAGAATCCCTCAGGAAGCTTATTAAAATGCAGATTCCTGAGCCACTGAAACATAGTCTCAGGCTTGTGTCCAGGATTGTTAGTGAGCTCCTCAGGTGATCTTTATGCTCACCACAATTTGAGAACCACTGATTAATCCCCTTGACTTTACACAAAACTGCCTAGAACATGCAAATAATTTAACATCACCCAACTACTTAGTGATGAAATCAGGACTTGAGTCTGGGTGTGTTGAATGCTGGTTAAATGTTCTTTCTATCACAAATCTCAGTTTAGGCAAGATCTAGAAAACATGTGTAGCGGACTAGTTCCTGCCTCATCGTCTCTAAATTTCCCATTTCCTGGCCTTGTTGGTTGCTTGGGTTAGTGTGTGTCTGTGTGCTGGGGATGCACACAAAGGCTGTGCCGTGTTAATGAGACCATGCAGACATTGGTACTGAGGCTTCCAGGTTTAAGACTTGAGCAGTTTGCAGGAGGAGGCAGATGTTGGTTTTGAAAACAGAAAACAAGTAGAATAGTTAGCTGACCTAGCTGGAACCTTTCCCCATTCTTCCTAAAGTCGCTTTCAAAAATGAATAGCTGGTGTACTTTTCTTTGCTGTTCTGTAAAGAATGGAGTAAAAAATAGAATTTACCCATTTAACTGCAGGTCACCAGTTTTGCTTTGTAGTGTTATACTCCTCATCTGTAGTAATTTTCCATCATTAGTCTTTGTGGCTACATCTTGTGTCTCCCCTGTTTCCTGAGATCTGCTTCTTGACCCATGATGTTCCTCCTATTTGGCAGATTGATGGGTAGGAGTAATGATTAGCATCCCTGCTCTTGGTATGCCTACAGTTCTCTCAGGGAATGAGAGAGCTTAATAGAGCTAAGGGTCTGGGGCTCTGGAGTCCTATGGACCTGGAATCAACTCTGGCTTCACCATGCACAGCTGCGGGGACCCTGGAACAGCCTCGAGGCTGTTTCTTGCACTGTAACTGGGGATACGGTATCTGCTTTTAAAGTTGGGGAGAGGATTGAGTGCCCAGCATAGTACCTGGTACGTAGTTCATTGTCCCTTACATGTTATCAGTGATTAATTATTTTTGTAAAGTTCTCAAAAATTCATCTCTCTTTCATTAAAACATTAAATCATTTGTGTCCTTGCAACCTTTCTCTCCTGTTGGGGAGGAGGATGTCCTGGGAAGTGACTTGTGCTATCAAAACAAAGGTTCCCACGTTCCAAAATGATCATCAGTTTCTGGTGGAGATGCACGTCCACGGTCCTGAGGTCGCTGGTGGCACGGACACTCAGCGAGGTGTTTTGGACAACCTGAGTCTTGCAAAGCACCGTGTAGAGGTGTTAAATACACCTGGGTGACTTGGTACATTTTATTCTAATGCTTGTCAGGTTGTCCTGATTGTCAGTGAGTAAAATATTGCTCTTCCTTCATTTGAGTTGTGACAATGGAAAACAGAAGAAATTGTAACCTTAGCAGCCAAAAGAACATCTTAGCTTAAAGGGCCCGTCAGTTTAGGGGTAGCCGTGTTCCTCTTTCTACCTGTTGTTGACCTCTGTGATCCAAAGAGTTAAAGGGAAGGAATGGTAAAGTGATATTGTTTCTGTGAATTAGGAAACTTAGTTTTGGGGAACTTAGAGTTTATTCTTCTGAAGTTGAAAGTTATTCCTCACAGGAAATTCCTTATAAAACTCAAGTAACAAGTCAGCTGGGACTGGGTGAGAGTATGCAGGCCTTGAGGCTCAGGATGTACAGGAGACCATGCCAAGACCCCGGGATTCTGAGATTTGGCAGCGAGACACGAGAAGCTCAGCGTGGTCCTGTTTTAAATGTTCTCAACAACGTTCATCTGTGCATTTCGTTTGCTCCTTCTGCGTCTGAGAAATCTGCTTCAGAAAAAAAATCTGCTCTTTTAAAACAATGTTTCACAAAAGATCCATACGGTAACATTCAATAAATTTCTCATGAAAGCCAAGAGAAAAATAGGTGTTTTAATGTAGACTCCAAGTAGAAGTTCTTTCCTGCATTTCTCCTTTTTCAATAACATCTTTCCCGTCTTACCTCTTCCCGTGGCTGTGCCTTTGGATCGTCTGTCTCCCATGTGGTTCATCTGGGCAGTGACACTCGGCATTTTGGTAGCAGATTGCTGGCAGTTCTGGGCAAATTCTGAAAATGTGATTTCCTCAGATATTCTATTAGAACATTCCCCCCTTGCCTTACCATGGAGAGAGAGATTATAAAATGGAAAACTATTTTTAGTCATTTTCTGATGATATTCATAAAGATTGGATTGCAAAGAATCAGTTTATGGATACAATACCTGGTTTAAAATTACCTTTATATCTGTTAGGAAAAACCATGATTGCTCAGAGTAGAAAGTCCAAAGTAATAATGGCTTTGGGAAGAGAGGAGTTCTTTTTCTTTTTTCTGTTTTGTTGTTTTTCCCACATCCGGGAAGCCCCCAGAGGCAGTCCTTGGCTGACAGTGTCCTCAGGGACTCAAGTACCCATCCTTCTGCTCTCCTGTCTTTGATGTACGCTTCCCTCAGCGAGTTACCTTGTGGACGTCAGGAAGAAACAGGACAGAAAAGGACTTCCCTAGCTGTCTGTTGCCCTTTTAAGGAGCCTTCCCAAAAGACCAGTCCAACAGCTTGCCCTCACATTGTCTTGGACGGAACACAGTCACATGGTCACAATAGCTGCAAGGGAGGCAAAGGATTGTAGTCCTCTAGCTAGGCTCACTGCCTTGTCCTGTAACCTAGGCCGCTGCTAGTCGAGAAGGGATGAGGGGTTAGGCACCACCGTCGCTGCCCCATGGTCCAATGTTCTAGTTGATTTAAGAGGAAAACATGATATAATTAGAGGTAAAAGTATTATCCTCCCAAATAAAAAAGTAAGAAAGAGATTAGATGCTTATTGAATTTATTCATTCTGCATTTAGACTTTGTGATTAATTCTAGTCCCATTTAGAAGTAGAAATATTAATGTCAGAGAACAAAGTAAGATGACTTTCCAGTGTGAAGCCAGATGCCCTAGGTGGAATTTATCCCCTTGACATGGAAGCCTCAGCTGTCAGAACCCACCTGCTTATCCTGGAGAAATATGGCTGGGAAGACAGAGTTACTTGGTCTGAACAGACTCTGGTATTCTCAAAGATAGTAACTAAA